AACAAAATGTCCAATTATAGTGCACTACTATGCCAATCCATTACAGCCTGACAATCTAAAAGAATAAGCATTTTGAGACGCTTTTGAGACTGTTGGTTTTTAGAAGTGCATTTCCTCTATTTATTTTTCTCAGCTGTAAAGGTAGAGAAGGGGATTATCTTGGTCATGGAGGGGGCAGATGGACACCCCCCACCCCCACTCCCACTGGAGAGGAGCTGTTCTCAACTCCATCTGGATCAGGCCAATGGCAAAGACTGTAATGTATGTAGACCCACCCAACCATTACCTTTGGTGAACCAATCAGATTTTTTTTAAGATAAGCGTATTCAGGCTTCATTCAAACCTTTCTTGTTCAAATTAATCCCATGCAGTAAAAGCAGGGAAGAAGTTATTAATCTTGTCAATGGGTTAGTTTATGGTTGTTGTGTTTTTTAAATATGCCATGTTATGTTCTGTATAGAGATCAACATACCAGTTTGTGTTTTAAACATATGTGCAACTGAATCTTGCAATATCAGACTTTCTGATTTAAACGTGACATAATACAGCATGATTGAGTCATATATTAGAAAGAACATGACTGCATTGTGGTAGATGTTGGTAGTGCATTTCATAAAGCCATCGTTTCATTCTTCTCTAGTATCCAAATGAAACATTTGGTTTGTTTGGGTGTGTTAAGTTACTGCTTGCGATCCAAACTATGCCACATTAATGGCTTGTCAACTCAAAGAACACCACCTGCTTGGTTTCTTCACTAGATAAAAAATAATAGTTTATTCAACCATCCTCTGTAGATTGAAATAAGATTATATTTAATAAGAAATAGACATGTATTACAGGCAGGCATACATAATAGAGACCTTTTATTTAAAAATGGGCAGCTTATGCATTTGCACGGGATCAATAAAGTCGGCATCTTTATAAATCTATATTTATCTAGTCTAATAGACATAGGTAACCTTTGATCGGGCAATATTTTGTGGTCTCATTTACTCATTTTAAATGTTTTGGTTACAATTGATTTTCGTTGAGCCAAGTGTGCTGATTTTGAAAGCATAGATAAACTGACATCTATTATGACCAAATGTCTCTGTACTGAGAGTGATGCCTGTGAGCAATGTGAGACACTTAAAATGGCTACCTTTTTAAGGCATTGAATAAACAAAATAAATAATTTAATTATTTAATTGTGTACTTCTATAGACAGCAGAGGTGGACAGTATACACTTTAGAGTATTATTTTTTTTCTGGAAACTTGTTACTTTAACAAAGACAAATATCATACTTTTTGCTCCACTACATTTCTGTCAAGGTTCTTGAGTAGATAGTAACGTCAGTCAGGGGATGATTTTGGTTGCATGGGTTGCATTTTGGGTTGGAAAATAAAGCCGGTTTGACGTCAGAACTCGACACCGGATTGACGTTGGATTTAGTTTGGAAATGAAATTCGGGTTGACGTCAGAACCGACCTGATTTTCATTTCCAACCACAATACAACGTCTGTCCAATGTTGGAGATTAACGCCAATCTGACGTTGGATTCTGACATCAGACTGATTTTCATTTGCAACGTTGGGTTTGGTCTTAAATGCAAATTTAAGTAAGGCTAACATATTAATTGTAAAAACAAAACTTTAAATAGGGCACTATTTAAGGGAACAGCCATTTGGGTGTCCGAAACCATTGTGGATGTTATTGAGTGCACACACTCACATTCAATCCCACTACTGGAACTGGGTTCTGGAAATAAATTTGATATTGAAGTAGGCCTATAGGTAGACAGGCATAGATTCAGAGGCATATAAGTAAAGCCTTCTGTAAGTATTACTTGCAACAATAAAATACAATATATTGACATAAACTTTTAAAAATGGAGCAATAATTACCAGTATCTACTTTAGAATAGAATAGAATAGAATAGAATAGAATAGAATAAATCTTTATTGTCCATCAGGGTGGACATTTTTTTTGGGTCACCAAACATACAAGCTAGATAAGCATACAAACGTCACAAACAAAGGAAATATATATATATATATATATATATATATATATATATATACAATGTAAAATAAAATATCATAGTGAAGATAAATATACTTTTAAGTACAATTATATAAGATAACTCATTTGTTATTGTCATGGGATAAAGAGGGTGAATATTTACATAGATAGATAGATAGATAGATAGATAGATAGATAGATAGATAGATAGATAGATAGATAGATAGATAGATAGATAGATAGATAGATAGATAGATAGATAGATAGATAGATAGACAGACAGACAGACAGACAGATTTGTGGGCCTATTCTAATAATAAATTAATAATAATAAAAACAAACAAAAAACAACAACAGTTATTAGTTATTGTCAATACAGCATCGCAGCTCTCCACCTCTCCAGCACAAGAGACAGGTAAAACGGGAGAAACACTCACTAACTAACTTACCCATGACCCAGAGTGCACCCCTGTTTGTCCTTTCAAAAGTAGGGGTCGCAGTTGAACTAGCATAGGTATAAAAAAAAAAAAAAACATGTTTTAATCTGCAGCCTGCACTCGCACAGAGAGAAAGCTGGTGCCGTATCCTTCAAACTGTTACATGAAGCAAGTTTATCAAACAAGCTTGCGAGATTTCTCCAGATTGAAGATCTGGGTGTGGGGGTTAGCCTAAGCTACTCAGTCTGGATGAAAGCAGCAAACATGAGAGTCCAGCATGAACTCATTTGATTCACTCGTATTGGCCAACCAAAATCTTAATATCAGGTAGTTTTGCAAACGTTTGCTCGTCCGACAGCACTTCCCCCATCAACAACAAACTAGTAAACCCTGCCTAGCCAAAGCTAGCTTAATGAAATGAAACGGACCCCAGCGATTATTATCCGGAGGATTGTTCCGATCATGTACGAGGACGTTAGCAGCGCATTGTAGGTGAGTGTTAAAAGAAGTATTTAATTTTTAAATGAATATATATATACTTGCTGATTAATCACCCTAGCAATACTCGGGCCCCCCTTCTACCTCCATTTAGCGAAGTGAGTGCGAATCTGTTGGCCAAAATGAATGCGCTGCTAGCTTCATACGTAACTTACCATTGCGTTTCCTAAACTCAAGGTTAAAAACACCAGCGTTCGGAACGTGATGTTATTGTGCAGGCCGTTTAGTTTCTTTTACGATAGTTCGTTGTGGTTTTTAGTTTAGCTTGGTGCATGAGTGTTTATGTCCTTGGTAATGGGTAAGCCATATTTTTTAGCCAGCACTACTAGTCCATGAACGTTCCGTCATTAAGACCATATGAACACGGAAACCACTAAAGCTTAAGAGTTAATGTGTTGCTTATTGTCAGATATATCATGTTATTCTGAACGCTTTATTTGTCATCAAAGTGCATAAAACTGCTCTATTTGTTTTTGCTGGAAAGAGCAACAGCATTTTTGAGTATGAAAGTGTCTGGCTAGCAAGAGTTAGCAGATGTGAAACTGGGAGATTTGTTTTATTTATTTATTTTGGCAAAAGTGGGACTGATAATAAAATCTGATCAAAATTGATGATTGTTGTAATATATTTCGTTTTATAGCAGTGGTTGTAGTTTTATATACCACATAGAGACGCTAACGTTATTTGCAGCCTGTTAGCATGCACTGCTTTACACAGGCAGTACGTTTGTTTCCTTTTTACTATTTTCCTCTGTAAAAGAACAAAACAATTGAAAATTCTGTTACAGAGGCACATAGTTTAAAATGGATTTGGTTTAAGGACTGCTGTCTGTAGCATGTGTGAATGTGATCGTCAGTTAGCGTGTTAGGACTTAAAACTGCTTGGGAAACATGTCAACAAATTAGTGTGAAAGGATTTAGCTTGACAGTTTATTCCGAATTAAAGGGTCAGGGATTGTCAAATGGCGTTGAAGCCATATATTTTAGGAATCGGGTGTTTTCAAATATTTGTTCAGCTAAACAATAATAAATAATGACAATAAAACACCAGTGCGAATGACATCAATGTCCCATATTTGTGTATTAGCTACGCAGTTGAAAGTTAAAATAGGGAAGCAGTGCATGCAGGATTACACAGTTCCTTATGCAAACATCTTAGTGAAACTATTCGAGATCAAACCGAGGAAAGAAATTACATTATAAACGTTTAAAATATTTTTTTTTTCTTTTATAGAAAAAATTGGTCACAGTAAGAGCAAGTTTATAAGAGTTTCCTGAATAATCAGCATATCAGAATAAACCAGAATATCAACACAATGCGAAATGCATGCATTCCTCCATAAGTCATATTACTTTTTTCGTGTCTATAAGTTAATTTAACGATTAATATGATCTGTAAATCCAATTATCTTTTATTATATGCAAACATTAACGTAAGAATTTTGTCCGAAGCATTTTGTGTTACTAGTTTAGGCTTTTAGGATGTCCACCAATCACTTCAAAAATCTAACTGCCAATTTTGTGTTTTTTTCCACCATACAGTCAAATTCCTTTAAATATTATTAGACATTATAAATATAAAGACATTAAAGTGATAAGACATTAACAGAAATCACTTTAATTATCATTGTTGTTTTCTAAATAATAAAATGTTAAACTGTTACAGTATTCTGATTTCGTCTCTTACATAATTGTTTACACACACACACACACACGAAACACATTTAAATGAGAGGAGACAGGCATATAAATCAAGACATGTGTGTGGACCTGACAAAGACAGGACATATTTCAGTTTGAGTTTTGTTTTTGTTTTTTCCTTTTTTCTTTAGGCTACTATGATGTATATATATATATATATATATATATATAGATAGATAGATAGATAGATAGATAGATAGATAGATAGATACGCTGCAAATTGAGTTATGGTGTGGTTTTTGTCAGTTCGACTACATTTGAGTTTATAAACGTACACTATATAACAGGCGGAACAAAATAACGTTGCCCATGTTTTAGCCCGACCTCGTTTTGTGTGTCACAGGAAGCGCGGTACACGGAAGTTGTATTTTCTTTGTGTTTCTCCCTTTAGCGTCGTTTTACATAAAGAAAGTAACACGTTATCTTAGAAATGCACGAATTTGTAGACTTTTATTGACCGCGGGTCATCACTAAGCAACGGAGCTGTCTATACGTGTCTGTATATACCTGGTTTGATGATGGGCGAATGGATTATTTTGCATAGAGTTTGTTAACCCCGGCCAGAATGCTAGCGTGTTAGCAGCTTCTAGGCACTACTGTAAGCTGAGCAGAACGACGCAGCTGCAGGATCAGACAATTTTAACAAACCGACTAATCGTTGTTTATCTACCAGCGCTAACCAAAACGGAGAAAATGCACCGAACACGCGAATCCACCTCATGGTTTGTATTTAATCAGTTGCTTTGTGTTTTCCTATATACACTAATGTTTGCGTAGTTAGGTGTGGAGTAATTTGAACTTTGCTGGATTATGTACATTAAGTACGCGTTTGCGGAATGACTGGACATTCCCAAATGCAGTTGATCGGATGGTGTGCATTATCAAGAGAGAGGTTGACCAGTCCAACTTTTTCATTACCGCCTCTGAGAGGCTTGAATAAAATGGGACAGTGGTTTTGTGGTTTTAGATCATTGCAAAACATGGATTTGTACATGCATGCTGCTCTACTTTGGTGGCAGGGTCATTTTGTTTGGTTTTGTTTGATGGTTTTGTTTTAAACCATCTAACTGTCGTCCCTGTTTCAGATCTCTGCAATAGAGATCTTCTTCAGGAGTTGGAATGGACGAGCAGAAATCAAACTGCGAAGAAAATGATTCAGAAACTGCAGGTTAGTAATCGTCAGGAAAACATGCACCAGAAAAATATGATGAATTCTTTAGCCATAAGTGTGTCTGATGTTCACAAGTGTCTTTACTGTTTTAAAGGGCATTGAAACCCTTTTATAACTACATTATTTTTAAATTTTATTCATGCACAGTTTTGTGGATGCATTACTGTCAATAGCTTAAAGCATATAAAGAAATAATCTTGAATCTTGCACCAGAATGATAGCTTTAAATGGTAATCCTCTCTTACATGTGACCTTTTCTTGAATTCCCTGTGAGGGAACAGTGCTACCTTTCTGGGATTTTTAAAGGGCACTTTTATATTTTCTCCATCTTAACTTACGGCTACCATGTTTCTCTCAGCTGATGATGGGACCCCTGCAAAGGAGAGCGTCCAAGTTGAAGGGGATCTGAGTGTCCCTGTTGCTGCAGAGGACATCTCAGGCACTACTGTGGACACTTCCTGCTCATCATTGTAAGGCCTTCTTTAAATATTGCAGTTTGCGCTGCTTTGCATAAAATGTAGGTCATGCTTGAATAGCTCAGTTTATAGGAAAAGGCTATCTTCATTAAATAGAACATGAGGTTATGTAGACAAAATAGTCAGTCGTTTAGAGCCTTAGATCTATCAGCCAAGGTCAAATGACACACAGAATTTGAATATTAATGCATCCCATTTGATTGCAATAAGCAGTTTTGTTGAAATAATGTGTTCGGAGTTGCTGATCATCATTTTTGTGTTGGTGTTATTTTTAGGGAGATTGTCAGGGCCTGTGCTCTGTGTAACTGTGTGGAGCGTAGTCTGCATGGTCAACGGGAGCTCCGGTGGTTTGGACCCTCTTCTGATCAGCCCAGCTTGGAGCCCTCTGTCTCCTCTCTGCCAGCAGCTGGAAACGATGACCTGTCTTCCATTGGATTCTCTGAATCCACCTGTCTGGCATCTTTCTTTGATGACACAGGTTAGGAGATCAAATGTACTCATAGTGATATCACTGTCATTTTCAGATGCTCTAGTGAGACACTTTAAGACACAGTAGTTTCTTCCCAATTTGGAACCCTTTTTATGACTATTTTGGACAATACAGAGTTGAACTGTTTCTTTTAAATTAACATTCTTATGCCATGACCCCACTCTCATTCAAAAGTTAGGGGTCAGTATGATTTTTGAAGTTTTCTTAAGTTTCTTATGGTCACAAAGTCCTCATTTATTTGATAAAAATGCATTTAAATTGTGCAACATTATTACAATAAAATAACCGTCTTCAATTTTTATTTTTTTTTTTTTTTTTACGGAAGCACCAATATGAAAATTTTGGTTGATTCCGGTAACCGATCATTCTTTATATTTGAAAGCCGATAACCGATATATTGGCCGATAAATGGTTATATAAATTTTGAAGAGCCTTATTTCAAAAACAAAAGTCTCACCATTAAAATGCTTGTCACTTGTAATGTTCTCATTATAATTTTATGTAGCCTATATGACAACATGATTTGCGCTGCACATGTTGCACTTAACTGTATTTTCCTTAATGAAATGATTCCAATCATATTTCAAGCAATTCAAAACCATCATGGGCAAATTTTCTTATCAGGCCGATAACTGTAACATTAAAAATGAACACGTCGGCCGATACTGACATGTATCATGACGCCTGGCGCTCCTCTGTCCAGAGCACATAGACAAAGCAGAGGAGATTGTACAGAAAATATGTTGGCTGATATATCATGCATCCCTACTTAAAAAAAAAAAAAAAGTATTTTATTCCTATGATGGCAAAGCTAAATGTACTGATTTTCTGATTTGGTGCATAAGAAGCTTATCTGATAATTATTATCAATATTGAAGACAGTTTTGTGGATGCAGTAATTTCCCCTCCAAAAGAACAGCATTTATTTGAAATATGTATCTTTGTATCATTATAAATGTCTTATGTCACTTTTGTATCACATTAGTTTAAAATTAATAATTTATATTTTACATTATACAAATGTAAATTCAAAAATATTATAAAATCAACATCCAAATTGGGATAAGAAAAAAACTCATAAACCTTGTCCATAAATATTTGTTTTCCTCAATTGTTATAATTGCAAATCCTTTCTTATGAAACAGGGAGCTGCTGGGTTCACCACTGGTGTGCCGTGTGGTCAGAGGGAGTGAAACAGACTGAGGGTGAGGTGCTGATAAACGTGGATAAGGCAGTCATCTCAGGGATACAGCGGGTAGGCCGAAAGCTTCCTTCATCAAAGTATCAAACCTCATCAATATTGCTTTATGGCGAGCAAATGAACTTTCCCAGCTTCTACATGACTATTCTATCTCTGCTTCAGCCATGTGATTATTGTAAAAGGATGGGCGCTACCATCCAATGCCGGGCCGAAGGCTGCTCACGGTTCTACCACTTCCCCTGCTCGGCTGCGAGTGGATCATTCCAGTCCATGAAGCAGCTGGCGCTCCTCTGTCCAGAGCACATAGACAAGGCAGAGGAGATTGGTACGGAATTGCAGCGGAAGAAATTCAATATCATCAGTAATTAACATTTGCAATTTTTGAGATGACAATCTCTGTGTTTGTTTTGCAGCCGGAGAGGAGGCACGGTGCGCAGTGTGCGACTCTGTTGGGGACCTGTCGGGTTTGCTATACTGTACGGGCTGTGGGCAGCACTATCATGACGCCTGTCTAGAAATCAGCGCTACACCACTTCAGCGGTCAGGCTGGCAGTGTCCCGAGTGCAAAGTTTGCCAGACCTGCAGGTATGCTTGAATGCTTTATATAAAGTTGATGTCATAAAACTATTTATATCCGTGATTACAGACTTTGTGGTAAAAACGTATTTTTTTTAATGATGTACAGGCAACCAGGAGAAGATTCAAAGATGCTGGTTTGCGATGCATGTGACAAGGGCTACCACACCTTCTGTCTACTGCCAGCCATGGACTCTGTGCCCCCTGATTCATGGAAGTGCAAAGTAAGCTTATATTCATGAGTCACTCTTACATGCCCTGAATATATCACAATTTAAGGCAGAAATTAGACCTGTGCAGTTTATTTACATAGTTGCTCTGCTCTTTTCACATACCCAGATTTGGGTGGAGAAACCACTTGAGTTCGCTGCGATTTAACCATATCGTTGAAACACAAAATAACTTTATTCAGTTTAAATAAAATGTCATCAAGGCACTTTTAAGAGGCCGTTCACACAGAACAGTTTATTGTTTATTCCACTATGCTGTTTCCATTGTTTTTCTATGTAAACATGTGCTAGATTACAACCTTTGACCATTGCGTCACGTCTAGTATCCTTTGCAACGTCTTACGGTTGATACGCCTTTCTAAAAACACAGTGCTCAAGTAAAAAGGGTCAACTTAAAAAAACAAAACACATCTCTAGTGTGTTTTTATGGCATGCAAATCTTTTTCAGTTTCACTGCCCTGCGTCTCGCATTTTTAACTGCAAAACACACTTGATGATTGGCCTCTAAGGAGGTTCAAAATGTGTGCCATTCCATTTAAAATGTCCATTTGAGTGATTGTGGCATGTGATGGTGATATCAGTTTGAACAGATGTTTGGCAAATAGGAAAATGTGATTTTTGTGAGTGAAATATCACTCTATTGGTTTGGCTGACCTTATTTGCATGTCTGTTTCAGCGGTGTCGTGTTTGTATTGACTGTGGCATGCGAGGGATGAAGCTTCCTGGCTCTGAACAGTGGTTTGAGAGCTACACAGTATGCGATGGCTGCCAGCGCAGGCGCACCTCTGTCTGCGGTGTGTGCAGTAAAGCTGTGGAGCCTTCGGCCTCCCTCCAACATTGCTGTGCCATCTGCCACAGGTTAGTTTTTTGTACCCTCTGCTATAAAGCACAGGCAGGTTGAGCTGCTTCCTTGTCTTGAGCAGAGCGTTTGATGCTGTGCAAAAAAACAGTTTACTAAAATGGAGGTGACCTTTTAAAAATTCTGTATTTTGAAGCAATGTTTGATATGAAATTACAAAACTGACTTACAGTTGTATTTGCATATTTGTAACTTGTTTGATGTCCTCTGCAGATGGGTACACAGAGATTGTGCTTCTCTGTCAGGGCCTCCTGAGGAGAAATGCATCTGTGTGCTCTGCAAAGAAATCCCAGATGAGGTTCCAGTCGAGTCTGAGGTGTCATCCACAAATGTAGATGAGAAAGCGGATTCAGAGGTGCCAATGGAATTGGGTATGTTCTTTAATACTGTTTTTAACTATTTTAAAGGGCTCTACAAAACGAGTCTCGTGATGAGGACTAAATGGGGTCCAAGATGTACTTATGAACAGGTTTTTTTCAAGCTATATTCAGATGTTGTCAGAATTGCATGTGACATCGCATTTGTAGTGTAAACATTAGTGATTCCTGTTGCCTGTATTCCTGTTAATCATCGATTAGGTTTTACATTTAGCTGGCATCAATTTAATACATCCTTGCTGTTTTAAAGTATTAATTTCTTTTAAAAAATGGTACTGACCCCAAAATTTGAACAGTAGTGTACCTGATGAATACAAATACAATACAATTTTAATTTTGTTCTGAATGCTGCATCGCAGTCAGTGTTTTCTCTGTATAGCAATGTGTATGTGGTATCAGTGGGGTTAGTTGGCCCTAGTTTCTCTTCTCTGTGTATTATTGACTGATATTAGATGTGGATATTGAGCTGATGGTTCATTTTAGGGACAGAGCTTGAGGTGGTTGGAATGGCAGAAGTGAAAGAAAGCATTAAAGAGGAGGAACTACGGCCAGAAGGTGCTGAGGGCTCCACAGAGACTAATGTGCACAGTGAGGTCTCTACAGAGCAACAGGCTTCTTTAGCTACGGTTTCAGGTAAATTTCAAAACTCACCATAGTTCAGGTTTTTACTTGCAAACACTTACACTGGCTGTGCTACAAAAATAGGCAATGTGCTTTTTTTTAATGTAATCTGATGGGTCATTTTATTTTAATGGCAGCATAGTTCAGTGTTAAATAAAATTGATGGGTAAATTTAATTTATAAACTACATATACATGTATACATTTTTTTTAATAAATGTTTTCAATTAAGTTTTATTTGCAAACAAGCTGCAAATATTAGGTTATTATTTGCAATAATATCTGCAATATGAAACTACAATGTAACACTGTTTTTTTTGTTTGTTGCAAAATTATTATTTTTTTTTAATCCTTACAATACGGTCACAAATCATCCCTTGCATCCATGTTATCCATGCTACAGACTATTAGGTTTTTAAGAGGCTTTTTTGATGTTTGTATTTTTTATGCTTCTTGTCTTCTATAGATATGGATGAAAAACAAAAAGAGGAGGAGAGTACCAGTGAAACAGTGGATACAGAGGCAGTTGAGGAAAAATCAACAGACACTCAGGACCCTCCTATGAAGGATAGCCCAGATAGCCCTGTCCCTGACACTGTAGAGGAACCTGATGTAACCCAACCTGATTTATCCCAGATTCCTATAGAAAGGCAAGAGTCACAGGGGCAAGACAAGCCTCCTCAAACAGAGACAGAGGTGGACAAGACAGTGGATTCCACTGAAACAAAGCCTCCGTCAAGCCTGTGTTCTCAATCTTCTCAAATCACACTCCCTGTTTTGGAAGAAGCAGAGCCAGTTGCGATGGACTTGGAGGACATGGGATCTGAGACTCAGCAAGGGTCAATAGACAGGACTCCTCCACATGCTCCTCAGACAGAAATGCCCCCTGCATCTGACACAGATGACAGAATGGGCCAGTCTGAGGATGAGGAAGAGGACGATGAGCAGGGGTTGGAGGAATCCTTAGATGAGTCTCTCCTCAAAGATGAGAGTCAGGGAGAAGATGATCAATCCAGGAAGGAGATGCAAGAAGATATGAAGCGTGAGCTGGTCCTCGATGAGACATCAAACATAAGCCATGGTGACGAGAGCAGCAGCGGTTTCCTTGGCTCGCCGGCTGAGGCAGACTCTCAGATGCTGTCCATGGAACTCAGCCTGGTGCCAGCTGGCAGGACCCGTTCTGATTCGCTGCTCACCGAAACTGAGGACTCGTTGCCATTTGATCCGCTTAAGCCCGATGGGGAGAAAGTGAAGCGTAGGGGTTCTCCTGGACGCTCACGGGTAAAGCAGGTGGATGTCAGTCTCTAAACTTTTTCTGCATAAAATTGAATTATGATGGATTTAGGTTCTCCACTAGTCCACAAGCAGTTAAGTTTGATGCTTATAAATGTATTTCCTGACCCTTCAGGGCAGAGGCAGTGGTTTCCCAGGGAAACGGCGGCCACGAGGTGGTGGTGGCGGTGGCAGCGGTGGTGGTAGAGGGCGTGGGCGGTCACGTCTCAAAGCAATGGCCTCTTGTATTGACGCCTTTATAGTAAGCTCTTCACTTCATCTGCAATTCCTTCTTTTTTCTTTTACTAGTGTTTTAAGGCATTTCAGTGTAAACTTATGTTGCTCATTAGAATTGTACATTAACATTTTAGTGCCCTGATTAAAATCAAGTCTTTAATTTTAGAAATATTTATTATTCTATCTAAAACCATTACAGCCAGTGTTACTAAATAATCTATTAAACATATTTTGTATTAATGAGAATAAAAATACAAAAGAAAATATAAATATTGAACTAAAAACGAAAGATTTTGTCATGGCAATTATCTCAAATGAGTTTAAATAATAATAAAATGCTAAAGTTACTAAAACTGAAATAAATTTAAGCTTATTATAATTAAAAATGAAAATTACAAAATCATAGCAAAATTACTAAAACTTAAGCGAAAATGTAAAAATGAAAAATGTAAAAATAAAATAACCTAGTTCAAAATGTTTATAGTACTAAAATAACAGTCATAGAATTTTGATTTAGCCTTATAGCCTTTTTTGTAACAGTATTTTAGTGCTCACGCTATGTCAGAATTCCCATAAAAATGAAATGTTAACTTGTAAAAAGTACACCGTAAATCATTGAAACAGCCTCTACCTCTTGTGCTAAACAGAAAAGTTTAAATTAAATTCATCTGTAATTTACAGCTAAGCATGACTGCAGACACTGGACTTAGCAAAGAAGAAGAGGAGGAGGAAGATGACACCATGCAAAATACTGTGGTACTTTTCTCCAACACTGATAAGTTTGTCCTGCAGCAGGTACGACTCTAACTTTCATTATTGTTGTTATTATTCTTTCAAATTCCTATACAATTCTGAGTGACTATAATTTGTCTCTTTTTGTGTGTAACAGGACATGTGTGTAGTGTGTGGTAGTTTTGGACAAGGTGTGGAGGGCCAGCTTTTAGCCTGTGCTCAGTGTGCACAGTGTTATCATCCATACTGTGTGAACAGCAAGGTAAGCTTTTGAACTCTTCTCTATGGTGATCCTCTTTATGCACAGATCCTCATTATTTCTTTATTTGGATTCCTCCTATAGATCACCAAGATGATGCTTAGAAAAGGCTGGCGTTGTCTTGAGTGCATTGTGTGCGAGGTGTGTGGGAAGGCTTCAGATCCTGCCCGATTGCTGCTTTGTGACGACTGTGATGTCAGCTATCACACTTATTGCTTGGATCCACCCTTACAGACTGTGCCTAAGGGAGGCTGGAAGTGCAAATGGTGTGTAATTGCCTCGGATGCCTCCGTACAGTGATTATATGTGTCTGTTGGGAGCCCAAAAATGTGGTAACCGAACCATTGATCTTCCCGCCTTCAGGTGTGTGTGCTGTATGCAGTGTGGTGCTAGCTCCCCTGGGTTCCACTGTGAGTGGCAAAATAACTACAATCACTGCGGCCCTTGCGCCAGCCTGGTAACATGTCCTGTGTGTCGTGAGAACTTCATGGAGGAGGAGCTGCTTCTGCAGTGTCAGCACTGTGACAGGTCAGTCAGGAACTGGATCATATTATATTAATAAAGGACAATCCTAGCCCCCATTATCCATCTTCATTAATTGGTCACTTTAACAGTTCTGCGTAATGTTATTAGATAGAACTGTTAAACAAAGAAAGAATATGGTATATGAAAAAGTATATCGTTTGCATTAATATTATTGGCAATAGAAAGGGAAACGCTATAATACACGATTTAAATACTTTAAACACTTGCTTTCAAACTATATATATATATATATATATATATATATAATTTACCAATTTATTTATTTGTGAAAAACACATCTAAAGTACGTCTTTATTTTACAGATTTTAAAACTCCGCCATCCTGCTCTTGGCATAGGCTATCAAAAAAACAATATCAGTTGACCACTCAAAAAATGTATCATAATGTGCAACTAAAATATTAAATAGCAAATATTAAATTACTGTTTTCAACATTGATGATGATGATAATAATAATAATAATAAATGTTTTCGACCCCAAATCAGCTTATTGCAATAACTGAAGGAGCATGTGACACAGCTTTGGCATCACAGGAATAAATTACATTTTCAAATGTATAGAAAAGCCACTTTAAAGGATATAATAGTTCACAATATTTCTGTTTTTTTTGTAAAAGCTTTAATAAGCAAAGAGACTTTTTTTCGTCTTTTGTAGATGGGTTCATGCTGTATGTGAGAGTCTTTACACTGAGGATGAGGTTGAACAAGCATCTGATGAAGGCTTTGCCTGTACAGCCTGCACTCCATATGTTCCCAGGCCTATTGGTGAGTTTTGTGATAGATTTGATTATAAGTTAATCTCATTAGTGTGTTTATTAGAAGTTCTATTTCACAAAATAATAACCTTTATCTCTCTCATAGTGGAGTCTCCTATGATGTCCGTTTTCAAAATGAAAGATCCCGGTACGTGTATGTTTGATAATTAGTTGTCAAGCTTTCATCTATTTGCTTTTTTTTTTATCTGACTTTATCTGTTTCTCCATCTGCTTGCTTCAGAGCCTCAGTTTTATCGTCTGGAGGGTGTCTGGCTGACAGAGACCGGCATGTCTTTATTGCGAAGCATCTCCATGTCACCCCTGCACAAGCGCAGGCAGCGCCGGTCCCGACTGGGCACCATGTGTATAGATGAGCTGAAAGAAGGTGATGCAGATGGTGAAGAGGGGAAAGGTCAGTTTATTAATAAGTTTAATTATTTAATAATGCATTTTCTCTGTTTTTGTTATTATTATTATTATTTAATTATAAAGTTTAATTATTTTTATACTGTATGTGTACTGTATTATTTTTGTCTTTGATCATTGCAAATGATCGCTGGTACAATGTTTATAATTACTTTAGGCTGTTTTCCTCGAACATTGTGTAAATAAATCAGTGTTGTGATTGATTATGAATGCAAATAATAAAGTGAGCTGAAATTGTTATAGGAGGTGCAGAAGCGATGGAATGTGAGCCCAAGCTGGAAGCACCTGGAAGCCCAGACAGGGATGGAGTGGACAGAGAAACTGGGACAGATGGGGGTATAGAGGGCATGGCTGACTGTGAAAATCTCAAAGGAGGGGTAGAAGAGACTGATGACGGGAAGAAGAGAAAGCGGAAACCATACAGACCAGGTCATTGAGCGTTTTGTTTCCTAATAGCTGTATCAGTGTTCTGTGCTTTAAAAGAAAGTGGTAATAAAGTGATTTTTCACTTTTAGGGATTGGAGGCTTCATGGTCCGGCAAAGAAAGTGTCACACACGAATGAGGAGGAGTCTGTCTGCCTCTGGTGATGCTGTTCCTGAAGGTCAAGCAGCTGAAGCGAAACTTGAGGAAGGCAAGTGTGTCCAAATTGGCCTTTACACTGCCATAGCAAACACCAGCATCTAATGATTTTTGAGTTTTGTTGGATCGGTGATGAGACTTGGAATGTTTTAAGTAGGGGTGTGCCATATCATACCGTCCTTGATAATACCAGACAAAAAATGTCTTTCAGTTTCTTTTTTAAGAAATATATTTTAAACGCCTAGCTTCAAAACTTTTAGGAAATCTGAACAGTAAAGTACAAATCTGTTAAATCTGATGTTAAACATAGTACACTGCGTATTAGCTTATAGTAAAGGGATTATGCAAACATTTGTTGGTTTTTGGGGAAGTATAAATTGAGTTTTAAATTTGTTTTAGTCCAGAATCCTTTAGTATGTGGTGCAGTGTGGTCTTACACGGCAGCCGCATTATCTTTTATGATCTCAAAGCGTTCACCAAACCTTCATATAACAGTCAGATTTTATTCATGTAGGACCTCATCCTGACATACCTCTTGATGTACCAGAGGCAAAGACCGCAGAGGGAGAGGGTGAGCAAGCCAAGAAGCGCAGGGGCAGGAAGAAAAGCAAGTTGGAGGACATGTTTCCTGCATACCTACAGGAGGCTTTCTTTGGCAAGACATTGCTCGATCAGAGTAAGAGAGCTTTTCTGGCTCCTCCAACCCAAAGACATACGCAGGGCATTCAGAGACCTCCTCTGCCTGGAAATGGGGCCAGAAATACAGCCTCTGAATCAGGTAAGACACTACGTCAATGTTAGTGTTTGAGAGTAATAAAGCTAGATGTGGCATAGATATAAAGAGTTGTTTTGTTTTGTTCTTACAGTTGAAGCCACTGTCAGGACTGTTCTTCCCATGGAACTAAAGCAAGAGGGTGAGGGATCCAAACCTCCAGGTGATCGGCCAGGTAGGATTTTTTTTAAGCTGTGTTAGTTTGATATTTTTGCGATGATTGTTTTAAGAATGTACTATTTAACTTGCATAACATTTTGTAGCAGTAGTGCCTGGAGTAATTGGGCAACTTTCCAACACAGAACAGAGCTCAGGTGATGCACAAGGGTCTGGCATACAGAAGAATGAAGGTAAATGCTTTCGTCAACAAATAAGTTAAGTACCTGTTGTCATGAAAAGTTGTATTACTCAAAAGACCACCCTTTTCACCCACCAGATCTCCCTCGGGGACTAGAAAGTCAGGATTCTGAGCAGTTCTTCCGCAAAGTACTTGGACCTACTGAAGGGAGCTCTGTGAGTGGGCCCCTGCAGCCTAGCATTAAGCCAGTTCAGGAGAGTGATCCAAATCCAAGTGGTTTCCCTCAAAGAAACCTCCTTCCAGGTATGGGCAGAAATCTATGTATTATATTATTTTTTAAACTTTTTTCACTCAAGATATGTTATACATGTATACCACTTAAAAATGCACCATGATTTAACTACAGGTGCTTCCTTATCTGGCGCACTCCCCTCAACTGGTATCATGGACTCTTTTTCAGGTCTCTCCCAGTCACCCTTTTTTGACATACGGTAAGCTTTTTTCTTCGCCTTCTCCCTTTTGTCCCCTTCTGAATTTGACCTCCTTTATATTACTTCATTTTTCTCATCTCCAGTGATCGAGGGGGTCTTTTCAGTCCAGACCAGGATGAGGAAAGTCCATGGGCAACACCATCCACTCCAGCCACCCCTTCCACTCCTCCAACTCCTACTGAACAGGAAGGTGATGGCCTCTCCTACAATCAGCGCAGTCTGCAGCGTTGGGAGAAGGATGAGGAGTTGGGAAATCTATCTACCATCTCTCCTGTATTATATGCTAACATAAACTTCCCTAGTCTGAAACAGGACTACCCTGGTTAGTATTAAACTGACTTTTGAATGTTAAAGTGTTGTTGAAGGTGTACCTGCTAATTCCTATTAACTTAGTAATAGTTTTACTCATAAAAATATGGAGGGCTTACATGACTAAAGAGTTGTTAGGTTTGCTTCATAATTTCCTTTCTTTCCATAGACTGGGCAAGTCGCTGCAAACAAATAATGAAGATTTGGAGGAAGGTATCAGCTGCAGACAAGGTTCCTTATCTGGTAGGTGCTAGTTTGAACCTATAGTGTAACTTAATTTCAAAGTACTGTCTTTGTCCTCTAACAGTTTTCATTTGTTTATCACTTGTCCCTTATCCATTCAGCAAAAGGCCAAAGATAATAGGGCTGCTCAGAGAATAAACAAGGCACAGAAGGTAAGTGACAATCTCTACAAATGCACTGTATATCATTTGATGTGTTTGCATTGTAATTGTAAATTTGTTTCTTTATTCTTCTCAACAGCAGGCTGAGAGTCAAGTATGTCGGCCTATCAAAACTGAGCCTGGCCGTGTTAAAAGCGAGCGCCCTAATCTGCACCTTCAAATTCCTCCACCCTCAGGCTCTGTATCCACTCCCTCCCAGCCAAGCTCTGCTGAGAGTCCTTACCCCCATGCCCCAGACTCTGCATCTTCAGCCTTTTTTCCTGATGGACCCCTCAAGACTCCTTGCTCGGCTGATTTGCAGACTGACCCATTTTCTAAACTTCCATCTCAGTCTCCGCACCTTCAATCTCAGCCATCCACCCCATACTCGCAGCCTTCTTCCAGCCCCTTGCCAGTCTCTTCCTCAGGATATCCTATGCCTGGCTCACAGGGTGCTACTCAGGGACGGCCAGCCAGTTTCGGCTCCCTTGACATGCAACCAGGGACTCCTCGCCGGGCCCAGCAGGTTGACCCATTTTTTAGATCACAACAGCAGATCCCCAAACCTCAGCAGCCCTCTCAGGAGGCCTTAGGTCCACCTGAGAGTCCTCGGCCTAGGCCTGGTGGGCCTGGAGATTCTCAGATGTTTTCACCACCTCATTCAACCCATTGTGGCGACCCTTACCGTGGCCAGCATGGAGCTGCCCGACAAGATCATACTTCATCTCCTTCTCAATCTGCAATAGCTTCTTCACCTGGTGGGGTGTGTCCAAATAGGGCAGAAATGAATGCCCCATCTCCACGTTCGTCCTTTGGCAGACAAGATCTTAGCTCTGGTTCTCCTGCTAATTTGGACTCTGGAGATGGGTTATTCAAAGCCCCCATGACACCTCGTATCCATCAGGGGGATGCAGGTGGCTTGTCTGTTTCACACCCTCTGGGTGCCTCTCCTAATCACCAAACTCCTGAGAGCTACCGCCAATCTCCCTCCACGTTCTCTGACCCTTACGCCCAGCCTCCTCTCACACCGCGTCCTCAATCAGGTGATGGCTCCTCTCCTCTACCCCAAAGGCTTCCTGCGCCTCAGCAGGAAACGTATTCAAGATTGCCTTCCAGTCCTCAGTCGCAAGGCAGTTCTCAGTCACCCCTCACACCAGGAGCCATTTCCAATGAAATGCTTTCTGTCCAGTCGCCAGCCACTCCACGCTTCCAATCACCTGACCCTTACTCCCGCCCACCTTCACGACCTCAGTCCAGAGATCCCTTTGCCTCACTGCATAAACCTCCTCGCCCATCTTCTGTAGCACCAGAAGGTAACTCCCCCTTTAGAGGTTCACCTCATCCTAGCCAGCAACCTCCCTGTTCACCCTCAGTCGCAGATCCACTTTCTGGAAAACCCTCTGCTTTCAGCTGCAGTCCTGGTGTAGGGCTTCAAATGGGTCAGCAACAAATAGTTGGCCAGCAGCAGATGATGACTTCTCAGCAAGCTCAGGTCCATCTCCAGCAGCCACAATCCCAGAAGCAACCAATGGGTGCTGATTTTAACTCAAGAATAGCACTTCAACCTGGAAACCAAGAAACAACTATTCGGCCAACAGATGCTCCACATTTACCCAACATCCCAGGGACGCAGGATATGTCAGACCTGTCAGCTGGACAGGATCCAGCTCTCATGAGCCTTAGTCCATCCGAGTTAGAAAAGCACAGACAGGTAAAGTAGACACCATTTAGATGTGCACATTTAAAAAAGAGTTTTGGTTAGAATTTTTATTCATTTAATTTTTGTTTTCTGTACAACAGAGGCAGCGATTAAGAGAGTTTTTGATAAGACAAAAAATGCAGAGAAACTCACTTCGCCAAGAGAAGGAAGCCCCTGTGGTGAGTAATCCTGCTCAGAATTGGCCAAGCGGGGAAATGCTGGCCTTTCAGCAAGATAAAAGCCAGCGAGCACCACCTCCTTACCCTCAGGTATTGACATTGAATTAATATTGAATGTTTTTATTGAATCTGATGAAATGGTAATTAGAGATGCACCTCTGTATTGGCCAACAATCGATATCAGCCGATAAAAGCTATTATTTTGGCCAATATAAAGCTATTATGGCAAAGTGCATTTATTTCAATTGAGTGTGCAGCCCAAACATGATGTTAGATGGCATAACATAACCTTACATCCATCAGGATCGAGCTGTTGTTGCTCAGGCAGCCCTTAGCAGCAGGATGCCTCTGCCAATGGGAGCAATGGATGAAAAGCTTTGCCGCCCACCTCCTCCTGGGACACCAGCAACTATGGAGCCCAGTTCATTAAGGTACAATGAGCTGAAAAATGCAACTGGTTTAGATTACTCTGTGATTTACACAGTCCTTTTAAATGTTACTTTCACAATTAACATTTTTTAATCTGCGCTTTTTATGTAGGCAAGCTGGGCCCAATATTTCTCAGGGGATGTATCCTCGTCCATTATTTCATGCACAGTGGCAAAACCAAGGTGCTCCACGGCGGTTCCCGCAACCATCTATGATCGAAGCCGTTCCCAGGCAGCACCTTAATACTCCCATCAACAATTCTCTCAACATGCAGTCCATGCAGAATATCCCTAATCCTTTGACAGGGGTCACAGGCACTGGTGCAGAAACTGTACAAAGCCATGTGTCGGGAGCACCACCTCAGTTTATAGAGTTGAGGCATAATTCCCAGAGGATGCCACTGGGTCCTCAGTTTATGCAAAGGGCACCTTTACCCAGACAACGCATGTTTCTTCCACAGCAGGAAATGAATGCTCCTTTTGTTCAGCAGAACTTACCCCCATCTGTCAATGCTTCAGCGGAGGGGATGCGTGATCCCAGACTTGGGTTACAGCAGGGTGGTATGGACTTATTAATGCAACAACAAAGCAATGTACCTCCTCCTCAGTCTCAGCTACAGCCGCAGCAGGTGCCAACTACTACACCTAAAACGCCCATTTCTCACACTACTACTCAACAGCTTCAACCTCAAACAAGTACAATAAGAGGTCAACAGACTGTTGTGAATCCAGTTGACCTACCTGAGTCTGACCTAGAGGATCCCTTTGCTTCCAAAGGGCTGGGTGATACAGTGGCAGAAACCGGAGTGGAGGATGATGATCTTGCTACTCTTGACCTTGATCCTGATAAAGGCGATGATGATTTGGGAAACCTCGACAATCTTGAGACCAATGATCCTCATTTGGATGATCTGCTCAACAGTGATGAATTTGATTTGCTGGCATACACTGACCCTGAGCTTGATCAGGGTGATCCCAAAGATGTTTTTTCTGACCAGTTGCGACTTGTGGAAGCAGAGGGGGAAGGACCAGGGTCTTCTGCTAATGTAGAAATCAAGGTTGAAGAGAAACCAAGAGTCGATTTAGCTTGTCAGGTCACGCACACAACTGCCACTCAACCACCCTTAAAGACTGAGAGTTCATCTGCTACCAATACTCCAAAAGTAGAGTCCTCTGATGCCATTAGACTGTCCTCTGTAAAACTTGAAGGGAAGGGATTGGTTGAACAACCACAGTCAGGACAAGCTTCGGTTAAAGATGACCTCAGTGAAACAGTGTCGGTTTTGCTCAGTGGAACAAAAGCCTCTAATCAATCAGAGACCACAACTGCTTCTTTGAACACTGTCCGTTTGGGTGGTATACCTTTTCCTCTTCCCAGCCAAGCAGATACACTGTCCTTTCCACCAACTGCACCACATCCAGACCTGGGAAATGATCCACTTGGGTTGCCAGATTCTGGCCACCACTCCACAGCAGAAGATCTAGACAAAGTAGAAAGCTCTCTGGAAGCTAGTGAACTACCTTTATTAATACAAGATCTTTTGGAGCATGAAAAGAAGGAGCTTCAGAAACAACAGCAGCAGCAGCATTTAAGTGCTCTGCAGGGAGGGATTGGTAGTCAACTTCACAGCATTCAGAATCAGCAACAGCCTCTTCAGGGGCCAAATCAAATTATGATGCCACAGCACCACCATCCATCCCAGGGCATTGTGCCTCAAGCAGGTATGGTGCCTAGGCCACCTCATGTGTTACCACAACAGCAGCAGAGGTTAATTGGTGCTGCAATTCCTTCACCTCCCCATGCAACAATAGGACAGCAGCAAGGAATTTTACGAGGTGGACAGCCTGGCAGAATTCATCCTGGTATTACTCCTCAGCAACAGACGGCACCACCTCCACATATTGTTAAACAGCAGAATATGGCCAGCAACTTTTTCCCAGATAAAGGTATGTTAAGATGAGTTTCATCAACTGTTTATTCCTATTTTATTATAAAAAAAACTAATTTGATCTTGTAAATATTATTTTTCTTCAGAGCTGGATAAATTCATGACAGATGACATAATGGATCCTATTGCGAAGGCTAAAATGGTTGCGCTGAAAGGAATTAAGAGGGTGTTGGCTCAAGATCCAATAGGTGTACCACCTGGAATGAATAGGTACGGTTTTTGTTTTTATTAAAACAAATTGTTGATCAGTTCTACTATTATGGATGTAAAATTGAAAGTGAAAATATGAAATGTTACTTTTTATAGTGTTTAATATTTAGTATGTTAAGGTAACTTTTTCTTGTTTAAATCAGGAAATTGTTATACATGTGACAAATTGACATTTTTGAGTGATGCAATACACTTTGAAGTGCATAATTATATGAAGAGCTCTTTTCCAAAACGCGATAAACGCCATTTAAAAAAAAAGAAATGAGTTTGTCGTGTCATTTTGCTGTGTACTGAACATATTCACTGCTCCATCAATGTTTCATGCCAAATCGCTATATTTCCTTGCCTAAAATGTACTGCAAGATGCTTTTTTTTACCAAACTGCAATAAGCGCCAAACCTATTTTTAGCCTAAACGCGATGCCTATTTTTGCAGATGTTTTTACCCGAAAAAGTAGTTGCGTTACACACAACACTGATTATAAGGCTTTAGTACAGTGATCTAGATCTAAATTAATAATTTAGGAGGGGCTTTGTTCCTTTCTGAAAAACATTGCTGGTTGATATTTCCATGGAATTGCCAGTTTTGGCTACAATTAATTTTATTCAACTTTAGGCAGCAAGTATCTCTTTTGGCTCAGAGGTTAACTTCAGCCCCTGGAAATGAGGATTCCCAGGCTCAGCTTGCACCTGTGTCTTCCAAGGTAGGTTTGTTTTTCTTTTTTAGTTCATATTTTGTGTGAATTTAAAATTGTATCTTAAACTTAATCCTTTTATTTCAGGATGGAGAAGGCAGCAACCAGGTTCAAACAAGACCGAATCCTCCACAATTTGGCATCATTAGTATGTTGTACATTTCTATTTTTGCAGCAAACCACCCCTTTTACTACTATTAGACTTTTCCTTATTTATTATTATTTTCCCTATGTAAACACAAATTTAATGTCGTGATTTTGGCTATGTCGAAAACAATCAGACATTAAAATGGACATTCTAAATTTACTCATTTGACAATTTCAGAATCTAGATAACATGGAAATCTGACTATTTTTGTTGCATTGCACAATTTGTAGCAAACTAAATTTTCCACAAAGTATAGGCACACATTGTGCATACAGGTTATAGACAGTTCTGTTTATTTCATGCTTTTAATGTTGATGTTAACACTCACAACAGATGATGCTGAGCAGCACCAATATGAAGAATGGCTCGTGCACACACAGCAGTTGTTGCAAATGCAGTTAAAGTTCTTAGAAGAGCAAATTGGAACACATCGCAAATCCCGTAAAGCTCTGTGTGCCAAGCAGCGCACTGCAAAGAAAGCTGGGCGTGAATTTGCAGAAGCAGATGCTGAAAAGCTCAAACTGGTCACTGAGGAGCAGAGTAAGATCCAGAAGCAATTGGACCAGGTGTGCAAAATATCTTTTTACAAACGAAAGAGAGATTTTGTCGTCTTTAAATTCAATCAGCTAATAACATTGAAATGTGCCTTTCTAGGTACGTAAGCAGCAGAAGGAGCACACCAATCTTATTGCAGAGTACCGGAGTAAGCAACAGCAGCATCAGCAAGGGTCCTCCATGCTAGCTCCAGGGCCTTCTACACAGGCGCCACACATGCTTTCCAAAATGCCTGGACAAATGATGATTGGTCAACCACCTGGAGGGATGCCTCAAGCAGGGATGGCTCAAGGAGGTATGCCAATTAGAATGCCACAAATGCAGCCCTTTAGTGGAGCCCAGCCTCCCACTCTCCCACTTGCAGCTGGCGCTGTGCAACCAGTTCCACCTCCTGGTTTTTTTCCACAAGGCCCTGGAGCACAAGGACCAGATCCAAGAGTTCTACAGGAGCGACAGTTACAGCATAGAATGCAAATGGTCCAAAAAATGCAACAGCAGCAGCAGCAGCAGCAACAACAACAACAGTTGATGATGGGGCAGCAGCCTATGTCACATCAACCTCAGCAGCCCGGTGTAATTAACCAGCAGCCTGGAGCTATAGGAAACCAGCCAGCCCAAGTTTTGATGGGCAACATGGGGCAGCAGCAACCAAACTTACAACAAGGATTAATTAACCAACAAAATCGTCAGGGATTAATGCAGACTCCACCAGGAATGATTGGACAGACACAACATAATGTCATGGGCCAGCAAATGACCCAAACTACAAATATGTTGGCAGGCCAACCACAGGGTATGGTTGGTAATCAACAAATTGTTCAGCAGCTTCAGAGACCTCAAGGTTTGATGGATCAGCATGTTGCCAGGGGGCCACCAGCCCAGCTCACACCTCAACAACAGACCGTAATGGCTCAGCGTATGCTCCTGTCGCAGCAGCAGCAGAATGCTGCGAAAAACCTTGCTCAACTTCAACAGCAACACATCTCACAATTGAAACAACAGACACAGGCTGGTCCCTCTGAGCCACAAAGAGCTTTAGAAACTCCACCATCAGGGAGTACCCAAGGAGTTGCCGAGAGTTTGCAACAAGGTGTCCAAGATCTTCAGAATCCTGCCCAAAAAGATGGAGGACTACTTAGTCCGAAAACACCCCCCCAACAGGGAGGACCTTCTACACCACTACAGATGCAACAACAGGGATCTAGTGGAGAGCAGCATTGTGTTGTTGGACAGCCACAGCAGCCACATGCTTTTCTGGCTCAACAACCGACCACGCAGCCTCAACAAAACCAGAACATTGGAGTTGCTGAACAACATGGTTTTGTTGGCAACCAACAGGCTGGAACACATCTTAAAGTACAACCACAGCAACAACAGATGCAACTTGGTCTTCAGACCCAGAACACCATACAAATAAAACAGGAAGATCAGCAAATGTGCTTTATGGCCCAACAGCAAGCTGGTCAGGTTGCTGCACAACAACCACAAGATGTGCTTGTCCAAAATAGTGGTCAGACGCAAACTTCAATGACTGGCATTGCAAATCAACAGCAGCAAGGTTTATTGACTCAACAGATGGCCATTCCTAGAGGCCAGCAGATGATGATGACTCCAAGGCCTGGTGCTTCTGCAGGGCAAATACGTGCACCTATAAATATTCAGGCCTTCATTGCACAGAATCCCCAACTGCGTCACCTAACTCCTAGCCAACAGTTGCAGCAAATTCAGGCAATGATTGCCCAGCGACAGCTACAACAAGGCCAGATGCTAAGAATGCAGGGTCAGCTGCAGGGACAAATGCGTCCCCAGGTCCCGCAGGGGCCACCAGTTGGTCAACGGCATCCAGGTCTTGAAATCCAACAACAGCAGCATCGCTTTGGATTGGCAGGAAAACACGGTCCAGTTGGCCCTCAACAGCAATCGGGTGCAATGGGACAACCATCTGGTATGGCTACACAGTTTCATCAAGGTGTTGCAGGGACTATGCAACAGCCTTCTCAAGGACCCTTGCCTCAATACATCAATAGTGCCCAGCAGCAGCAGCAGATGTTACAACAGCAACAACTACATCATCAGATGATGAGAGGTCAAGTTCCCAGGCCAGTACTAGGTCAGGTTCGTGCCACAGCACCTGGACATATGGCTAGACCAATGTCTCCTCGCCAGTTAGTTGGTCAGGGTTCTCCTGGAAGCCCGCTTTCTAATCAGCAAAGGATTATGAGAATGTCTCAGACTCCACCAGGACCCCAACATCTACAGCAACAACAGTCTCATGTAGCGACTGCACTGAGCCCCTTTCGAGCATCTCCCTCTCATGCAGGTTCTCCTGCAGGGTCCACTGTTCCAGAAGCTGGTTCAAGCCCAGCATCTATAAATAAACCTGAGACAGGCAACCTGTCGCTCTCCAGTCACTTGTCATCACCTTCTAGACCAGATGGTATTGTAGGAAAGGGTAGTCCCTTTAGCCAGACAGGGGGATCAATCGCTTCACCTCTGAGATCTCCAACTACGAAGACTCAGAGTCCCAATACTGAAGCTCTTTCTGCTCCTTTTCCACTTAATGGTCCATCTCCTCAGTCAGCACCCAACCCACACCAAACACCAAATGCTACACAAGTATCTGAGGGTCATATGTCTCAGCCAACTCCAGTACCCAATGAAATGTGCAAAATAATGCTGCAAAACATCAAACAAGAACCACGTGAAGTCCAATGTGACACAGGAGATAGTGTACAGGCCCTTTCTGATGGCATAAAGAGAGAAATTTCTGGAGAGACCATCAGTGCCACTGCTATTTCGAACTCTGCTCTGGGCTCTAGAACTCAAGCAGGAGATCTTGGATCCCAAATTCAAAGGACAGAGACTGGTCAACAGTTGTTACAGAAACTCCTTAGAACCAAAAACTTACAACTGGCATCTCAGAGGCCCTCAGATGGTATTCATAATGAGATAAATGGACACATCAATAGCAAGCTAGCAATGCTTGAGCAAAAGCTTCAAGGAACTCCACGTAACATGGAGGTAGGCCAAGGAAATCCTTTTATTATGCATATGTACTATGAAATTGAGCATCTCATTCTTATCTGATACTATTTTTAGGATCTGCAGTCACTCACAAAGAGAACTCCAATAGTCAAGGCCAAACGTACTACAAAAGCTGGAGAGCGTGGGCCAAACTCTAGAAAGAAAACCAAGAAAGAAGAAGTTGGAAAAACTGAGGCAATAATGAAGCAGCTGAAACAAGTATGTGGCAGTGGCTTTTTGAATCTCTGCTTCCTGTTTAAGAGTAATACATGGCTTTGAACAATTTGGATTAATATTATGAAGTTAAATCATTGTTCACTTATGGTTAACCCACAGGGACTTTCTCTTCTTCCTTTGATGGAGCCCTCCATTACTGCTAGTCTGGATTTGTTTGCTCCCTTTGGCAGCAGCCCAGCCAATGCCAAGACCCAGTTGAAAGGCTCATTTGGAAATGCTATGCTAGAAAATATTCCAGACTACTATTCCCAGCTTCTTACAAAGGTACACTATAGTTTGGAATTTTCAGTTTAACCACGCGCCTTACAAAATACTTTCTTGATTGGATTCTAGGAATTCTAAAGACTGTTCACAGTTGTATGCAAGTTCTTAAGATGCAGCCATTTTAAGTGTTCTTTGCTGCTTTTTCCTTTTAGAACAACCTCAGCAATCCTCCAACACCACCATCATCACTTCCCCCAACTCCACCACCTTCGGTGCAGCACAAACTTCTAAATGGAGTGACACCTGTAGAGGAACTATCAGAAGGTCAAAAAGGGACAGAGACGTCAGAAGATACCATGAGTAAGATATTACATTGATTTGGATTTATTAGTGAGCCGTTATAACTTTAGCGACTTATGACTCCTAACATTTAAATTTTTCCTTGTACTTGAAGGTTCTGTTCCAGAGGAAGTAAAGAGTGTAGACATACTAGCAGCTCTCCCCACTCCACCTCACAACCAAAACGAAGATATACGGTAAGTTGTCAATTTACTGGTAAATGCTAAATGAATGTATTGAACAACTAATCTTAAGCTTGTGTATATGTCAGTGCACTAATGGATTCTCTCAACTCAGGATGGAGAGCGATGATGACAGTGATGCTCCAGATAGTATTGTCCCTGCATCCTCACCTGAAAGCCAGCTAGGTGATGAGACAACACGCTTCCCCCATTTATTGGATCCTAAAGAGGAGGAGGATGAGAGGGCCATCTCTCCTGTTATCCCCATTATTGCTCGTTCTGCCATCCCCAGTATGTGGCACTGTTTGGAAAATATTTTAATTTGTTTACTTGAATCTTTCATGATTGACTGATCTTACTTGTATACAGGTTTCTCAGAGACAAAACCATTTGAGTCAGTGGATGGAAAAGTTGTTGCTTCATCCAGCCAGTGGGACAAAACTAAAAGCAATGAAGTATCTGTAACCTTCATGCTTTCATCAGCTGCTGCAAAGGTATTTAAGTGTCTAAATGTCTTAACCCAATGTTAACCTCAAAGGCATTGGATCATTTTGTGTGACAAGGTTTAAGTCCTGTTTTCCTTTTAACAGAATCTCAACACAGTGATGTTGGCTGTTGCCCAACTGCTGCACATACGCATGCCAAGTTCTTACGAGGTGGCTTTTCCCCAGAGTCCTGGTAGAGCAGGTGTTGGACCTGGGAAAGTACCCGACTCCTCCAACCCAGGTAATGGACTCAATCTGTCTTTCAACGTTATTCTCAAAGTATCGGCAAAATGTTTAGCTTCTTGTTTTTGGTTTGTCTAAAGCTGTTTGAATGTTTTTTTTCCAGCTATGAAGACAGACCCTTCTGCAAGCCATGATGCAGAGTGGCTTAGGCAGTTTGATGTTTCCCTCCCAGGATGTACTCTGAAGAAACAAGTCGATATTCTAGCTCTTATTAAACAGGTGAGTTTCCTGAGTATTTCTCTTTTTTTGTTTTCTAAATGTCTTCTTTCTTTTAAGAGGTACCTTACATTTCTTATTTCTTCTGACATTTTTACTCTTTTGCAGGAATGCCAAGATCAAGAAGATAGACCTGCTCAGCACTGTTACATGACAAATGTTTCAGATCTGGATGTGCGCCACCTGCCTGTTATTCCTGTTGAGGTATCTCCACCTCCATCACCATCCCCACCTCCACCACCACCACCACCACCACCTTCTGCTGAAGCTGAGCCAGAAAACATCACTCAACCTGAGCCCAAGCCTGAACCGGATGCACCTGTTCAGACTACATCATCCCCTTCCGCAAGCCCGAGTAATCCTGTCAAAACTGACCCTATAGTTAAACTGGAGGCTCACAGCTCCCCTGTTACCATGGAGACTGAATCTCAGGAGCCAGTGGTTCTACCCCTAGCTACTCCATCAGAAGAACAACCTTCTGCTCCAGCCATTTCTCCTCCTCTAGACTCCCCCACAATTGAGATGTCCCTCAAACCTATTAAACACCGTAGCAGGACTCTTTCTGATGAAGAAGAAGAACGACCTAAGGTCAAAAAATGGAAGGGTCTGCGCTGGAAGCGTCTCCAGATAGTCATCACTATTCGCAAGGGTGGGTCTAAGAAAGAGAACAGCCGTGAAGTTTCTGAGCTTATGGAGCGCCTCCGCATTACCCTAAAACCAGACAAGCTGCCCAGAGACAAGCGCAAGTGCTGTTTCTGCCACGAGGAAGGAGATGGTGCCACAGATGGCCCTGCACGTCTGCTTAACATCGATGTCGATCTCTGGGTGCATCTTAACTGTGCTCTGTGGTCCACTGAGGTGTATGAGACCCAGGGCGGAGCACTTATTAATGTGGAGGTTGCTCTTAGGCGTGGACTGCGCACCCGCTGTGCCTACTGTCAGAAGACAGGTGCTACTAGCAGCTGCAACCGTTTGCGCTGCCCGAATGTTTATCATTTTGCCTGTGCCATTCGGGCACGTTGCATGTTTTTCAAAGACAAAACGATGCTTTGCACCCAGCACAAGCTTAAAGGGCCCAGTGAAGAGGAGCTCAGCAGCTTTGCTGTTTTTCGACGCGTCTACATTGAGCGAGATGAGGTGAAGCAGATTGCAAGCATCCTGCAACGTGGTGACCGCATTCACTTGTTCCGTGTTGGCGGGCTCATCTTCCATGCTGTGGGCCAGCTCTTGCCCTCTCAGATGGCTGTGTTTCACTCACACACTGCTATATTTCCAGTGGGCTATGAGGCCACACGAATTTACTGGAGCACTCGTGTGCCAAACCGCAGATGTCGCTACCGTTGTCGCATCAGTGAGCAGGATGGCAGGCCTCTGTTTGAAGCGCGTGTCCTAGAGCACGGGTATGAAGACCTACACTACCGAGACACCACACCAGATGGTATGTAAATCCAAGTTTATTTTCTGATATGACTGTAAATGTAATCCTGATGGAATGATGATTTATCTTGCCTCATCATGCTAATGTCATGCCACTGCTCTTCAGGCATCTGGTCCAAGATTGTACAACAGGTTGGCAAGCTGCGTGATGAAGCAGCCATGCTGAAACTCTTCACAGAGCATGTCAAGGGAGAAGAGATGTATGGACTCACTGTCCATGCTGTGATGCGAATCACTGAATCGGTGAGAATTTAATAAGTATGGTTGGGAACAGAGAACTGGTATTTATTCAGAACCGCTAACAAAAATGAACATTAATAAAACTTAAAAAAATTAAAATAAACCTAAACCCACATGATTCATTTTTGTTAACTAATCTTTCTATGTTTTCTTCTGTTGATCAAATCAGCGATGACATGTAGTTAAAGATAAACAATGTTTTGTCAGTAATATGTAAAAAATAAATAATGTTACCACATTTTTTTTATCATTGTTGTTTAGTATATAGCTACGGTCAATTATTGGATCACATTCATGCTGCCTCGAATTATTATTTAACATTTATTATTGAAATGATTTAATAATTTTCTATATTTACATTTATCTAGTGTTGAAAATATCTAATTTGTCTAATTGGATTTCTTTTTTTCCAAATATTTATTCCTTAAGTCATAAAAAAATGAACTGGAACCATGATGTTAAATTCATGTGATTCCCATCCCCAATTAAAAGCATTTTTCTTAAATATCTTGATTATAATTATTAACAACATAATACAATTTTCGCTGCTCAAAATTTGTCCTTCAGCTTCCTGGTGTGGAAAACTGTCAGAATTATACGTTCCGATATGGCCGCCACCCTCTCATGGAGCTTCCCCTCATGATAAATCCTACAGGCTGTGCACGATCTGAACCCAAAATTCTCACCCACTGCAAACGGTAATGAACCAAAGAAATTGAAGACTTTGGCTTTCTCATGTGTCAATTGTGACTCTAAGTATGGAAAGTGATTGTTAGGATCTAATGTAATTTTATCCTGCTTCTCAGGCCTCATACTCTGAACAGCACGAGTATGTCCAAAGCCTATCAAAGCACATTTACAGGGGAAATTAACACCCCGTACAGCAAGCAGTTTGTCCACTCCAAATCTTCTCAATACCGTCGTCTGAAGACCGAGTGGAAAAACAATGTGTACCTGGCCCGTTCTCGCATTCAAGGACTGGGTCTCTACGCTGCTAAAGACCTTGAAAAACACACCATGGTCATAGAGTACATTGGCACCATCATACGCAACGAGGTTGCGAATCGCAGAGAGAAGATTTACGAGGAGCAGGTTTGTGGATGTCAAGCGTCTGCTATAAATTTTCTCTATTTTTCCTTTTTTTAACCTCTTTGGTTTTTTCTATCAGAACCGCGGGATCTACATGTTTCGCATCAATAACGAGCATGTGATTGATGCCACCTTAACTGGCGGTCCTGCCCGGTAAGATCAAACTTCCTGTGCTGTTCTTGCAATACGAATGTTTGGTTTGGGTCATAGTTTATGATCTCTTTGTCTTCCTAGTTATGTCAATCATTCTTGTGCACCCAACTGTGTCGCGGAAGTTGTGACATTTGATAAAGAGGACAAGATCATCATCATTTCTAGTCGCAGGATCCCGAAGGGTGAAGAGGTAGGTTCGAGTTACATTTTTCACTTGGCAGTGCTCTCATCGCTGTTACCCGGTATAATCCATTGTATTCTCCTCTCTAAATCTGTTTTAGCTGACGTATGACTATCAGTTTGACTTCGAGGATGATCAGCACAAGATCCCCTGCCATTGTGGAGCCTGGAATTGCAGAAAGTGGATGAACTAACAGGGACAGAGGAGGAGTCCGACCCGTCTTTGCTCCCTGGTGCCAGAACACTCCTGCGCCAAAGCCTGTTATATTCTTACTATCCAGTTAATAAGCTGCTCTGAATCGAGGAAGGAAAGTTCACTCTCAGTCACCCGAAAGACAAGACTTTGTTATTCACAACAAGAGCCAAAGCTTTTGAAGAGTAAACTTTTGAAGACGCAACCTTTTACAGATGAGCTTGAAGGTATTGGACCTGCTTGAATCTTCATGTCGATTAAAAAAATTCACCTCTGCCAAAAGCACTTCCACTGTTTCCTCCTACAATAAGCTGACTCTGGCTACAACTGATCCCTTTGACATCTACCAAAACAACTGAAGCTATAGCATATCAATACACTTAGAACTAGCACTCAGTGAAGATGTTTGATTAAAGCCATGTAAGTTCTCAAAAATGAACTAGTACAATTTAGCTTGGACCTATCCTTTCCGCTACCATCCTTTCCATCACCCCAGACGAACGCTCTCCCATCAAATCATCAACGAAAATCGTGGACCTTGGCAAGACAATCCTGGAGTGGCTCTGCTTAGAACTGTGATGAGATACTATTGACCTGTGGCTCGAGAGGCACGAGATAGTTTTATTATATTGATTTAAAAGGTGGGTTTATTTCACCCAGTCTACCTCATTGAGTTTGTGGGACGTCACTGCTTTGTATTAAACTGTTAAAGTGCTACTGTGGAAAGGGGAAGGCAGGAATGTGTCCATGGCAATTGCCTTCTCGGGTAAGCAGGGAAACTTAAGCAGCAGGTTTGCTCCTCTCTATATTTTGCTTTCGGATGATTACAATAGTGAGCCAGTGCAACTCTTTTTGATTTGATTACACAAATGAGATACAGTATATGACTTACAATATGATGATGCATTACTTAGAGCAATCAAAACTCAAACGGGTGTCTCGCAGGCCACCTTTTCCCGATTGTAGATATCATGTAGCTGCGTCGGAACGTGCAGATCATGTTTTTAGTGTTGAAGCGCTCATCAGGATCCTCTCACATTCTTAACGATGGAGCAAATAATGAGAAAGGGCCACAGTGCAGATCCACGTTGATGCAATTTGAAAGATTATAGGGCAAATAAAACTAGTGATGCAAGACTGCCACTGCATTTTCCCATCTTGAATCCTTACATCCTGCCTTCATTAGATCTCCATTCGGATCTCATCACTCCAACCAGGACCCTTAGGTGTGTAAGCCTCTTCCCTTCTGTGATAGTGGACTGTTGTAAACTTACTGTAGTGAGTCTTTCTCTGCCTGCTGACGGCCGGTTGTATCTAATCTATGTATCGTGGTTTGATAGTGGTAGCACAGTCTACAGGCTGGACGCAGTGACGGAGGAAGACTTAAAAAGGGCATTTCTATTTTCTTTTATATTAAAGTAATTTAAAAGTTAAAAACAGTTAAATTTCAAAGAAGGGAGTTGAACAAAGTCTCCACATAGCCCATGCTACTTTGTTCCTTTCTCCCCTGACGTATGACCTCACGTTAAGAATAAATGCAAAATGTATAAACTGTACATAATAGGGGTCTAAACTCTTTATCCAGCCCCTTTTTAATCAAATTCAAAATTGTAGAGAAATAAAAATCATGAAAAAAAGCAACCACTGGATATCATTTTATCAGAAAACTAAATGTGTATATATCTATAAATATATGTAAAATGGCAAACTAAGTAATATCTTTATGTATATGAACCAGAGTGTTTTTGCATTTAACTTTTTTTTTCTATCTGTTTTTTTTTTTTCCTACAAGACCATATACATATTAAAAGGTGTGATGTTTCTCTTGTCTTCACCAATGAAATTTGGAAGAGTGGTTGCGGTGAATGAGACAAACGTTTAAGATGGGATTCATGCAAAGTTCTTTATTGAAATAGATTTTTTTTTTTTAAAGAAACAGCAGTAAAATGGTGCATAGCATTTGTGTATTTATGTAATATTGTTCACGTATATTTCTTTTATTTATGCTACTGCTTGTGAATTACTGATCCCTGTCCTTGACTCAGTGACAGTTTAATTAGTATATTCAGTAAATGGAAAATCTTGAAGCTCCCAAGATGATACTGTTTTTGATTCGTGTCCTATTGTTTTCCCCCCGTAGAAGTGAATGTTTTATGACTTCTGAAAAGGCTGCATAGTTGAGAAAGGTATGACTTCATTAATCGAAAATATCTCCATTAATTACATGTGAATTGCACTCAGCATTTTTTTTTTTTTTATTTATACATCCTCCGAACTAGCATTGGTTCTTTTAAGGGTAGTCTGGTATTAAAGACGCTCACTGGATTTTAGCCTGAGTAACTCTTGCCACCCCTCCCCCTTTTGTTCTTTTGAAATCTCTTAATTTAAGCTCTATACACGTTGTAATTAATTAAATAAATAGATCCTGATTTTGGTTTTCAACCTGATCTACTTTCTAAAAAAGATGCTGCAACTGTACAGCAGAGCTACTTTTAGGGATGATGAATAAAATGGTAATTTTTATTGTATGTGGCATGTTTTGTATGGATATAATTTTGAATTGTACATATTTTTTGACGTCAGAGGTTGCATCTCTTTATATACAGCTGTCCCCTTCCCTCCCAGCCCTCCATTTATTTCTTTGTCTCTGCTTTATTTCTTGTAAAGAAAAATAAAATGCATTTTAAATATAAATGTTGTCAAATTTGAAGCTCTACAAACTACCTTTGCATAGCCTCTTTTAAAGGCTGTTATATATTCTAAATTAAGTTATTGGAAAGAGTCAATGAAACAGAATTAAGAAAAAGGATTTATTATTGTATATCATTTATGTACATTATATTAACTAACCCACAAGTGTATTTGTTTTTAACATGTTTAAAACACACATACACATCTTAGGATCAAGAACTCATATGCATCTGACTGAAAGCATTGTCTACCAAGTCTTAAGTCTTATTATCAAGACTAAAATGGACAAACATGTCAGGGAATTTAGACTAAACTGCCTCTACAAAACAGAAGTGATTACCGTTTTAAACAAGGGACAGTTCACTTTGAAATTAAATTTTGATGTGTTTTAGCTTACCTCAAGGGCATCCAAGATGTAGGTGTCTTTGTTTCCACAGTATTTTCAATTTTGACATTTTTCGGTCAAACCGTTGTTGTCTCTCAGTAGGGGTCCACCTCTTAGAGCATGCACAGAGAAGTCAAAATTAAACATTATTTAATGACTCACTGAATTTAAGTACACACTGATGGCCTAAGACACGAAACAAGCGGTTTGTGTGAGAAAACAGTATTTATATAGTTTTTACCTCTTGTTAACAGCTATGTCGAACTGATCTGAATCAGATGTCCAACTGAACCGAACCGAACTGAACCGTTCAAAGTCCAACGTTACACCGGAAGTGATCTCGCGCGTCCACATCACGCATTGTTTACACAGAGATTTCGGAAGTTTTACCTTTTACTAAACATATTTAGATATATCGAAATGGTCTTCCATTGCGATTTCCCGTATATCTAAATATCTTTAGTGAAAGGTAAAACTTCCGAAATCTCTGTTTAAACAAAGCGTGAAGCGTAGACGCGCGAGAGATCACTTCCTGCGTAACGTCTGGAGACGGTTCAGTTGGACATCTGATTCAGATCAGTTCGACGGCTGTTAAGAAGAGGTAAAATTTATATAAATACTGTTCGTTTTCTCTCACAAACTTAGGCCATCTAAGGTGTCTTAGGCCATCAGTGTGTACTTAAATTCACGAGTCATTAAATCATGTTTAATTTTGACTTCTCTGTGCATGCTCTTTGAGGTGGACCTCCCTAAACCTGCATTATATGACTGACAGACAACACTGGTTTGACCGAAAAATGTCAAAATTGAAAATACTGTGGAAACAAAGACACCTACATCTTGGATGCCCTTGAGGTAAGCTAAAACATATCAATTAATTTCAAAGTGAACAATCCTTTTAAACGAGTGTCGTTCAGAATCATCCAAATGCCTTTCCTCAAGTCTTAAGTACAAGTTAAAGTAGGTTTTACAATAAACAACTGCAAAATCCAAGTTGTGAGAAAAAGCAAGCACAATATAAATAGTGGAACAATTAGCCTTTACATTTCTACAGACAGAATTCCCAGTGTATAATGTAGAGCACCATGGTATAACAAAATTCAGTCATAATTTTATTTTAGACATTCTCAATGCCACCCAACTCAACTGAATCATGCTCCTGTCAAACATATTCCAGCTACACAGAGCTGATTCATATAATATGACCTTGAAAGTAAAAAATGCATAAGTCAAACAGAAATGGACTGTAATAGAGCCTGCAATAGATTTCCAATGTTACACATAATACAGGACCCTTGTTCTCATCCAGCCATTCTAAAAGCATTTCAGACCATTAATGCCAAAGCTAATCTAATCATTTTTCGCACCTACTGTCATACATATCCCATGGATTCCAGTTAACCATTCAGAACATCTGCAGGTTTTTGACTGTGATCAAGACATTGGTGCAAGTTAATAAAATATGGAAGAAGTAGTGAAGTTGGCTTTCTAGGGATGTCCTAGTGATACAATGTCACCATGTTCAATATTTGGTCTTGGCAAACCCTAACTGTAAATATGAGAAGGAAATGTTTAGTTGTACTTTAAATTAAACTGAATGACAACTCTTCAATTCAAGGCAAAGCAGAGCAATATAAATGTTATAATGCAGGCAAATAGAGATGCATTATTTTACATGTGTGTTACTGTTTTCTGAAGTGGTACCAACTACTAAATCCCCAAAAGAACACGGACTGCAAACAAATAACAACAGTGCAATTTAACATGCCAACATCCCAGAATAATAGGAATACAACATACTAAACGATCCCGTTGAAATAACAGTTGGATTTTAACATACAAGTGGTAATGGCTTTCCTTATGACAAAAATCGCTCAATTTCTCAAAATGCGGTCGGATAACAATACAAAACATGTGCAATCATTCAATGCATTCAGCAATCACAACACTGATTTTATGAACCCAGTTAAATAAAACCTAAAAACATACACACACTCTCCCTGTGAAAATTTAAAAGCAAATGAACCCAAAACCACATTGATGGTTCTGACGTTTAACAAACGCAGCCTGAAGAAAGATAAATAGGCTGATTTTTACATGAGTAAATGATCTGCACTCCTTCATTTCTTCCACAGGAACAAAAAACTGCAATCCCACTTGGTCACACGGTCGCAGTGTGTCCGTTTTGCTACACTTAGCTTTGTACATGAATTGCTAGTCATAACAGGAGGAGACAGTGTTATCCACGTTTTTTTTTTCACATTCTCACAACAGCAGTAGAGCACTATATATAATTGTAGACTGACGCTGAAATATGACATATGGTGTATTAGTGAATGAGGTTGAACAAATCACATCTAAACACATTCTTTCAAGAAGTCCATTTTGGACAAAAGTGGTGAAAAAAAAACAAATGATAAAATTAAAATGCCTGTCACAGTTCAATTGTCATTCCTGCCAAAAAAAAAAACCTAAAAAAAAAATCAACAACCGTAGGTCCATGGACAGAGGTTGCGCTGATATCAGCAGTTCGAGGCTCATCCATGATTGGGAACGTTGGAAAATGGAAAAGGGCTGGGATGTACTCAGACTCAGTAGTTTCGTCTTAGATGGTGAGGTAGGCCTCGTCACAACTTTAGAAGGTTCAAAAAAGGGCTAAAACTGGCAGACTGCTTTTGGCGTAAGTCTTTATTCGCTTGTTCGTCTCTGCGGGGATCTGCAGTGTCCCATGCGTTTCAGATCTTAACGTCTTCTTGGACGCTGAGTTGCGAGAGAGTCTTCTTTATCCGCAGAGCCGTAAGCCGTGCCGCTCCGTTTGCATACCAACACTCCCGCATGATCTTTCCCATCACTCTCAGCGCCTGTGGAGAGAAAACACAAATCAAAATGAGTTTTCCAGGCTCTCTCACAAATATGTCTTGTGAATCACAGCTGATTTTAATTAAAAGGCTGTATTTTTACATGGAACAGTCTCAAGATGGCACGTGTGAAGCATATTGCACTCAAAAATGGCTTTTCAAATTGGCAAGCATGTTTGTGGTGAATGCTGCACCATAATTTGAGAATTTGTTACTTATTATGGCCTACTATTATCATCATTTACTAAAAGTCAAGTATTGACAACAAACTGTGGTTTGTGACTGTGGTCAATTACTGCAAATGTCAATTAGATGACCTTTTATATAAGTGGGATTGCTAAAAAGAGTTTTGTACCTCGTAGCTCTGCCACCAGTTGGGCACATTGGGCCGTAGTCTCTGGTCACAAACCACCTTCCTCATCTCTTCTATGGAGGGATCAGAGGGCACCAGATCATAGTAGGGAAGCTGGTAATCTTCATGGATGCCTGAGAACATGGTCAAAGCGTGAGCTCTTTTAGTGTTGAATGGCTCAATACATCTATATTATTTAGCCTTACTGATCATGTGTAACAAAATATTTCCGAAGTCCCAGTCCCAAGGGGAAAAAACATTGCATTTTTGAACTGCAATATCATACATTTTTAATCTCTAAATAGAAAATATAGTGCCTTACAAAGCCAAATCATTTGTAGATGCATTGGATAAAAGACCAATATAAACTCAAGAATAAAAAAAATGTAGGCCTATAAATCCCACACATGCTTTAATACGAAAGTTTATTAGCAATGTTTTAGTCAATTGACCTTCCAAATATTAAATCTCTGAGATAAAAAAATCCATCTCTAAAGTTGCTACTATCAATAAGCAAGTGGTTATGCGGTTATGCTCACCAACGATACATTTATTTGATCCAAAATTATACAAATGCAGAAATATTGTGAAATATTATTAAAATCTGAAATAACATTTCTATTTGAATGCATTTTAAAAAGTAATTTATCCAAGCCATTACTTCAGTCTTCAGTATCACACGATCCTTCAGAATCTAATATGCCGGTTTGTGACTCAAAAAAACATTTTATTTATTTATGTCAGTGAAAAACTGAAGGGAGACATGACCCCCAGAGCTCTATGGCAACTACAGCCTGTTAAAGCTCTGATTTAAATTACTTTTGTTAAGATACTGTAGGTGGATGATTAGTCAGGCACTTTGCAAGCTTCTTGTTCCTCACCTCCAGCATTACACCGTCGCGCAATTTCCCAGTATACCAGTCCCAAAGCGTAGATATCAGCACACTTGAAAGAATCAAAATGCTTCATGTTGATCGTTTCATCTAATACCTCTGGGGCCATATATCTAAAGGGCAAAAAAAAAAAAAAAAAAAACATCAAGTAATGCTAAAGGTACATCTTCATGGTTAAATTTACATATAAGCAGCTGTTAACAGTATTTAGTAACAGTGCCTGGCAGTAGATTTACCTTTTAGTGCCAACCCTCTGATTGGGGGCGATGTCTATAGTATCAGTGATGGACTCGTGCCGTACAGCGAGCCCCAGATCTGCTATGGCACAAGTACCATTCTTTTTCACCAGGATGTTTTTAGATTTCAGGTCACGATGTGCAATGCCTGGTTTCCCTGTGGGAGGAGACCATCTTGGTTTAGTTCGGTTTTGGGAGTACAGGATTTGAGAGATATTCAAGCTCGTATAACCGATGCATCAAATGTATCCATTCATAATTACCCTGCGTTCCCAAGATCTCCATGTGCAGATGTGCCAAGCCACTGGCTGCTGAGAGTGACAACTTAATCATCCCCTCGATAGTGACGGAGTAGTGGTTGAGATAGTCAAATAATGAGCCATGTTCATGGTAGTCTGACACCAGCCACAACTGTGTCCATGTGCCATTGTCTAAGAAAGTCAAAGTAAAGAGATTTAAGGGTTGGAACAAATCACTCTCTTAAACATTTGATCAATTTTTAATGTATATACATATATTATTAAAATGATTATAGATAGATGATAGATAATAGATGGATAGAGTGAGTACATCTTACCTTTATTATCAGCGGCGATGAAGCCTAAGATGTTCTCATGGCGGAGCATGATGGTCTGATAAATCTCAGCCTCGCGGAACCAAGAGCGCTCCTCTCTGGATGAGAAGATCTTCACAGCCACATCCCCTCCTCTCCATCTCCCCCTCCATACTTCCCCAAAGCGACCTTTACCTATGATCTCCTGCAATACAATTGTCCTGGCCACTGTCCTCTGAACAAACAAGGGCAGACCTGCAATGAGAAAACACATTAGCACACGAACAAAACACATGTCAGATAGGCTGGAGAAGGATAAAGATGCAGCTTACCAGATCCTGAACCCGAGGTGGACAGATCGAAGATGAGATCCTGTAAGGTCTTGTCTTTGGCCAAGTACAGATGATCACATGACGGATCCTCAACGTCGAGTCGCTGCCGGTGGTTATAGTTCCGTTGGTGGTACTGGAAAACGAGCACTCCAACGATAAGCAGCAAGCAAAAGAGGAAGACTGGGCCTGCTATCACTGCCACCAGCTCTACTGGACCCCAACTTCCCCCTTTACCTTCAGGAATCCCTAAAAGAGACGAGGAAATGCGCATTACAGGCTGGACCTGTAGGGATGAACTGATATTAAGATTCTGTACGATACTGAAAGAGATGCGAGACAAATGGCCAATATTAAAACCAACTAAAATCAACAGTTTTAAATACTACAAGTTTATGTAGACATCATAAAATTATAATACAGTATGAAAAATGTAAATGCATTTGGACATTTGCTAAATATCACATTTAGAGATTAACTGCAACAGTGAATATTAGAGATGAAGGTAAATGTATACACAATTACACATCCTATATTGAGCAGCATAAAAACTTTAATTTTGGAAGTTAACTAAAAATTATGTATAACATTATGTACTCTCTCAATGTTCATGAAAGTAACCTCTCACCAAAGATGCAATAAAAAAAACTACAGCAAACCGGCAATATTGTGAAATATGAATAAATTAAAATAATAATAATAATATTTGAGTATATTTTGACATAATTTTTTCCTCTGATGGCAAAGCTGAATTTTCAGCAGCCATTACTCCAGTGTCACATGATCCTTCAGAAATCATTCAAACATGTGGTTTCATATTTCTGTAGAAACCATAATACATTTTTTCAGGATTCTTTGATGAATAGAACTTTTAAAAGAACAGCATTTATTTGAAATACTAATCTTTTGTAATATTATACAGTCACTTTTGATCAACTAAATGCATTCTTGCTGAATAAAAAGAAACATTTTACTGAGTCCAAACGTTTGAACAGTAGTATATTTTAGCCTGTACTCTTACCGTTGGGAATCTGGAGGTTGATGCTGTTGCAGAAGTCTGTATAGCAGCAGTGAATGTTGAGCAGGCCTTTGGCACTCAGGCAGTAGACGGGCTGTCCAGGGGGAACCAGGCTGACCCGAGGGAGGCAGATCCGTACTTGCTGCTCCTCCTGACCATTGATGTGGGACGTAGAGGTCATGCAGGCCCCATCAGTCTCGCACACATATCCAGTGTTCTCACATGCCGTGCAATTACACTTGAGAGCTAGAGAGTTAGAGAGAGATTAACGATTAAAATATGACTCTAAATAACTGCAATGTGTGTTTGTTGTAATGTCAGATCATTAATGAGGATTGAGGATGCATTCAATTCTTCCTTCAGCGGATGCTTTAAGTGAACTGTGCAAACTCAAAATATCCTCCAGAGGGCAAGCAAGACCAATTTAAGGAAAGGAAAACACTGCATGCAGTGCTTCTGCTTGACTTGCCTTACTCAGAGTTGAGTTCGCAACTAAACTACATAACATGAAACTGAATCCGCCACTGCAGATGAACCCAAACAGACTGTGTACAGCAGGAGCTGGCATTTGGACCCCCCACTGCAGCACCTTTATATCAGCAGAACATATTTACAGACTGTTTTGCTTTATTGAACAGTCATAGAAACAAATAATGAGCAAGATGATTAGATTTGTGTATATATAATGGACCATTCTACAGAACTGGTTCAAAGTCAGAGTTGGAAACGTCTTGAATTTTTTTTTCTTCTATTCAATCTTTTTTTTTGTATGTATGCAAATTGTGTAATATCCAATATACACTTATTTCTAGTAATTGTGCAGTTAATTATCATATTGTATTTTCAGAAAGTTTTTCCTCTCCCCAAATTTGTCACTACCGAAACACAATAATAACTAATTTAATAAGGCGGTTTATTTTTACCTATTACTATTTTGCTTGTTTACATCTACCTTGTAAATTTATATTTTTGCCATTAAAAAAATGTTAATCAGTTCACAGGTTAATCAATAACAATTTTAACAATATTTCAAGTGTGGTTTATACAATTTGTTGCATTTTGTATCCAATCTTTCTTTGAAATCAGTATGATGATTAGCATAATGCCTTTTACAAAGTTCATTAGTTTGAATATACATTGAACCAAACACTATAATAACATCTTAGTTGATAATTCAATATACTTTATTATATCCCATGTTTTGGTCGTAACAGCACATTTTCGGCGCACAAAACTTATAAATGATATAAATGAAAAAAAAGGCAATATAATTTTCAAGTTGAAATTTAGGGGTTAGGGATCAGCCACCTCCCAATTTAAAGTACCTAATAATTGGTGATTTTTAATATATATACATATATTAAGCTTACTTAGATCCTTCTATTATATCTTGAAAAGCATGTTTAAGAGCTTCTATTATCTATCTATTTTGTTCATCAACCAGCTCGGCAAGGTAAAGAGCCGATGATCAAAATATCATCCAATTAAAATATTACTAACTAGAGACCACTTGTTTACATCCAATAATTTTAAATCAATCAGAAATAATCCAATCCGATTCTTACACATTAAAGGACATGATGTCACCACATGCGACCCAGTGCTACGTGTTTTTTTCTCGTCAAAAGAGCTACGTTGCCCATTATAGTTCGGTACAGGCATCAAATGCCGCCTACGGTATTTGCAACAGAGGAATTCTACACATTTGTCATAATGTCATCACATGTGCGCACATATAACAAGCACATTTAGCCCAGCACACACAGGCAGCATTGTTCTCAATGTTCAGCAAGTTACGTCACAAAAAAAGTTTTTTTTTGTTTTTTTGTATCTTTAGGTTGGGTCTTAAAAATGCCATCGAACGAACGGGACTAAATGTACCATTTTCTTCTTTTTTTGTTGGTCCGGACCAAAAGAACCAAACTACAAATGTGAACACACCCAAAGACTACGATATAGTACCATTTTTGTTTTCATTAGCAACAACAACATGATCTTAAAAGCCTGTCTCTTCAGCAAGTCAGACAAACTAAGACGCAGGATATAATGACTGCTGGTACACAGACTGCCGAGGGTGACCGAGGTCATGACACGAGGGGTGGCATTCACACTTCACCGGCGCCCCTGATTTTATCCGAGCCACACACAATGGCAAGCCACTTAAGACAAATTGCAGTGGTTTTAAAATAACAGGACTTCAGAAGCTTGACGGCTGATCACAACAGGGCCCACCGAGGGACAAACAGCACTTTAAAGCCCAGACTTTTCTGGGCGTCCCTTTCAAGAATGTTCTATTCTAATCCTCTCATTTCAATGCTTTTCTTTTCACCTTTCCCACATGTTCAAGCCTCTGTATACCTTGTACTCCTACTGTCACTCATCTCACTCCAGAAACACTTAATTAATCTGACTCACTACCCTTCCTCCTACAGTTTTTCATACACAGGTTTTATTGCACAACTCATGACATGCAAGTGGCTGAACCACACCCTTCTGAACAAGTGTCAACTTCACTTTTTCACCATGTGTATGTGTGGGGAGGGGCGTATGTGTCAAGTGTCATAGAGCAAGAGAGGGAGTGCGAGAGTGTGTTTGTGTACTCTTTGTAAATCTTATAAAGGCTGTGATCTAACAGACACCGAAGCGCACTGCCAGTAACCGTTAGTGGAGCGGATCCAAGTCAACTGAAGTTCACATGCACAAAGAATTTCCTGCAGATTACATGGAGGTAACCAGGCCCTGATAACAGGAGAAAAACAACCCGGTGCCATAATAACCCTCTAATGGAGCACACACGATATCATTAAATCATGGGGCAGCAAATAGAATGACTGTAATTGCCTCATAGTGTCTTGCTAAAGGGTTCTGAGAAAACACAGTGTAGTTATCACTTTAAATCACAATCAGGATAACTATACTTACAGCTGAAGGGTGTCTTTTTAATGTTAAAAAATTTTCCAAGCTATGTTCATTTAACAGCACCACAGGCAAAATTTTGATTAGGAGTAAAGACGTAAACAATGAGCATTAACGTGAAAAAAAAAAAAAAACACTAACCTTTTCTGTGTAATGTTAGATCCAATTTTACAATTTTGTGGTCATGGCAACAAAATACTGTATACCCTAAACGCAAGTTAACAGAAGACTTAATGCAAGTGCTTTTAATTAAATAAAAGCTTTTCATTTCTGCTTTGAAATTCTCTTAAAAACAGTCCCATTCACTTCAATTGAAAGAGCTTCACCATAAGTTGAATTTGTTGTGGTAAACATTATGCCATAAATATAATATGCAGAGACAAGTAACAATTTGTAAGCTGATTTACCTCCCGAAAAAAATGTTTAGACTGTTGTGCTTGTGCCATTTGAGCATCCTAACCAATCTGACTCAACCAATACTATGATTTGATGGAGCGGCCATCTGTTTTTTCGACCGATGGAAGATGATATTTTCATCAATAATAACTTTGTCGACAACATACTACACAAAATAATGTACTATGACAATCCATGTGCAAATTCATGTACTTTAAGAATAATTTCACTGAATGCTTGGGTGTGGTTAAATATACAACTTAAATGTACCTTGTATGTAATTTTAAAACAAAAGGTCTTCCAGTGAAAAACTGATGATGTATGCTGGACTTCTTTAGTCAGCTTAAACCCGGCCCCTTAAAAATGTACCGCAAAATCCAATAAATTACATATAGCCCCCACCCTACATTTTTATTTTGCACTCTGATATGACGGAACAATTCAGAAGAAAATATCTGTCACTATTTCCGGTTCACCACAAGGAAATGTTTTTAGTAATAGTACCTTACACAACAACCAAATTTCATCAACTTTTGAAATCTGACATATTAGGGAGGCCTGTTTTCACCTTAGAGTAAAAAATAAGTCACATTGAGATATAAAGTCATAATCATGAGAATTAAGCCTTTTTTAACTGCATTTCTTGTTATTGCAACTTCAAATCTCACAATTGTGACTAACTTACTAAACACCAAATCTCTTGCACCTCAGAAACCTGAAACTTTTCACTCAATTCCTGCAATACGGTCTGCAAAACTTCAGACCAATCAAAGTTTATGCAAAGCCAGTTGACAGAACGGCTCCAAACCTGCGGAAAGGGAGCGCGAGCGGTTCAAGCCAAGCGAGGTCTTGTGTGTGCATAATTGGTGGCCTTACACTGGCTCTTTGTGTGGAGATTAAGGGGACATGAGGAGGGATTGGGCGGGCTGTGTCTGGACAAAGGATGGGAGTGGGCTGTGCGGTGGAGGATGGGGCAGTTACTGTTAGAGTGGCTGGGGGGTAGGGGACTCCCCTGACATGTTTTTAAGAGCTGCCGTTGAAACAGATACGCCAGGACAGAACACAGAGAGGTAACAGAGGGCGACTTACAGAATCCCCAGCTGTGATGGGATTTTGGCCGAGAGACTAGCTACGACAGACCTTAAAACCCTAGTCTAGACTTGGCTTAACCCAACAGAAAGAGGGGAATTCAGTAAAGGACAACATCAAAACCTCACTGCCAGTGTGAAGTTCCTATCATTCCATTCTTGTTTAGACAGGAAATGAAAACCATTGCGGCAAGACGTGAATGAAATCGTTGCCATTAACAGTGTGCTTGGTTGATCAGAGCCTGGCTCATGGAAAGTCTTTAGTCAACGGTGAAGCCACAAACAACGTCACATTACTGGTACGGTGACTAAATCCTTCACTATGGAACAAAAATTTCACAACCTCTGCTTCAAGAGTACCGACTTTCCACGTTGGGGTCAAAGCGAGAATTAAGAGCTCACAGGGTTTGTGGTTTAAACACTCAGACGCAAATATTGCCCCCCACGACACAAGCAGTCCTCTCATATCTATTACAAATGGACGGCCTTGTGCGGTGCTTGTCTCTCTTTGGAGGCATTATCTCTTGCTTCACCTCCTCTGGATAATGAAAGCCCATCATCCTCCTCTTCTAGCAGGATGCCAGGGGCTACTGAGAGCGGGCAGACTGAGAGAGTGCAGTTACCCAAGATGCATAGAGCTGAAATGAGATCCATTGAGCACCCAGACAGGGAGCTGATTAAGACATGCCGACGCCACCAGACAGAGCGCGCACACACACACACACACACACACTCACACAGACATGCACAGCGAACTACACTCACAAAATCAATGCAGTGAAAGGAAGGGGAGCTTCTTTAGAACTCTCATGGTCAAATTACTCATCTGGTCCAGAGGAACGAATGTCTGTCCCTTTCTCTTTCACAAGCCAGCAGCCTAAAACCATTTCATGCGACAAAATAATGCAGTTCTTCTGACAAATATTCGAAGGAGTGCATTCGTTTTAAATAAGTACACTAGAGTAAGATTTTTTCTGTTTTTGAAAGAAGTCTTAGGCCGTGTGTCCACCAAAGCGTTTTTATTCCGTTGAGACGTTTCGTTGCTATGATACAGAATACCCGCAGCACAGTTTACTTGAAAGTGATTTCGCAGATAATTTGTTTCATACTAAAAAAATATTTTCCATCCATTTTGTTCGGTTAACTCTGTTGGTTGATGTCGTTGTACAGAAAGAATGTTGTGACAGTGTGGTTTAGTCCCGTCCCTCCTCCGCTGTGATTGGACAGCTGAGTAAAAAGTGAACGTGATGAACGCGATAAGCGTTTTAACATTTTGAACATTTTTCAACTCTCGATAACCATGAAAAAACGCCGGGCGCTCGGCACTTCAGCGTGAAAAAAAAAAAACATTCAGCGCCTCATTACGCTCATGGCGTTTAAAAAACGCGGCGCTCCCATTGAAAACAATTGAAAACGTACGCCAGGCGCGTGGAAAAACGCTTTGCTGGACACCAAGGCTGCATTTATTTAATCAGAAATGTATTTAATCCGTCCTTCGGATGAGACGTTATAAACCTGACTCTCTGTGGTCATTAAAAAAAAATCCCAGGATGTCTTTTGAAAGAGTAGGGGTGTAACCCCGGCATCCTGGCCAAATTTGCCCAGTGGCCTCTGTCCATCATGGCCTCCTAATCATCCCCATATATACCAATTGGCTTCATCACTGTCTCCTTTCCACCAGTAAGCTGGTGTGTGGTGAGCGTTCTGGCCCACTATGGCAGCCGTCGCATCATCCAGGTGGATGCTGCACACTGGTGGTGGTTGAGGAGATTCCCCTCTCTATGTAAAGCACTTTGAGTGCCGAGAAGAGCGCTATATAAATGTAATGAATTATTATTATTACTATTAAATATAGTAAAACAGTAATATTACCATTACAATTTAAAATATAGCAGCCAACTCCAGTCTTCAGTGTCACGCGATCCTTCAGAAATCATTGTAATATGCTGATTTGTAGTCTTCTATGCTGCCTAATATTGTTGAGGAAACAGTGACACTTTTTTTCTGGATTCTTTGAAGAATATACAGTTCTAAAGAAAAGTATTTATTTAAAAATAGAACATTATATGTAATTTCTGACACTTCTGATCAATTTAATGCAGGACTAGTAATAACAAGTAATAATATCTTCTTTTTTTACTTAAACTTTTGGATGGGTTAGCATAGTTTGGAATTGGATAGTCAATACACAGTTTATATGCCATACATTAACAGTTAATTGTTGGTTTATTCTTTACACAAAACTATCGTAAAATATATAGTGCACAAGTCACCTAAGTAAAATACGGTGCTTTTTTGAGAACTTGACAGACAAGGTCAGAAATTGTTGAGCTTCCTTGTAAAAAAAAAAAAAAGAAAAGTCTACTATTCTGTCTGATGGAAAAATGAATGCTCTACAGGTTTAGAATGACATGAGGGTGAGGAAACAATGACACAATTATCCCTTTAAGCTTATAATACAAATAACCCTTATTTTTAAGAAAATGATGAAAGATAAAAAAAATTGTAGTACCAAGGGGAAAAAAAGTCAATCAAATGTACTATTTCTAAACAAGCACTGTAATGTAGGTCACACAAAGGTCTCTCTCGATGTAATCAGCACTGCCCGCCGGCCATTCGGGTCATTAGCAAGGTCATTAATGAAGCGGAGACTAGCTTCAGTCGGCTGTGACCGTGGACTCAACCCCACTAGCTGGCTTCCCCAGACACACACTCCCCATGAACCCACATATCTTTTTTTGCTACACTTTCCGTACTCTGATCTTATATACAAGCACACACATGCAAAATATAGCTTGATGTGCTCTCTTTCAGTTCCATAACAGCCCTCTCACAGCACCTGGAGGCCTCCTGTGATACGGGCTTCAAACGTCTGCTCCTTCCGGCTCCAACACAAATTCAGGGCCTTTGTGGTTCAGAACATCTATTATATTTTTATACATTAAAAAACAGTTAAAATAGCGAAAGTAGTTTATTTGTTATAGAGAATTAACTCACTTTTTCCACTTTGGCACTGCAGTTACCAGGAGTGGGAATACATTAATGATCATTTCTTGTAAGCAAGTGAGTCACTCATAAAAATGTTCGAATGGCTTAATTCATCATTCCTGGAGCGTTTTTCACCAAACGTAAAAGTGGAGGAGCTAGGACTTGGAGCATGTTTAATACTTAAGTTTGGTCTGTGTGAAGGGAAAAGAAAAATGTGGGAGAGAATGAAAGATGATGAAAGCGACGCACCCTGCCTCACGGCTGTCTGCCTAACTCACAGTGCCCATATCACATTGCCGTTGTTTTCTCACACAGGCCTGCGAGAAGCGTCACACGGACATCTAGAAACTCGAAGACTTGCGACAAGCCAGTTTATCAAAAACAAACAAAAAACAGCATGCTTTCTGAGAAACTAGGCAGTCATCATACAAGTGCGGAGCTATAGAGCCCCCGGGTTTCAACAGCACTATGGTGGAATAATTACCATAACACGGCTGGAGTCGCCAATCTGTTTAATTTCCACTAGTCTGTGTCCAACTACCGGCAGCTGTGCAAATCCATCACTGGCAGCCCGAAGGCGCCTCTCGCGCTACAATCCGCTCAGTGTAGAGTCTGACATTGAGGCGACCCTGTCAGACGTACTACAGGTGGGATCTGTCTGTTTAGCATTTTCTTTCAAGTCCTATTGAAGCATTTGGCAGCATTTTGTGCAACACAACCATTTGTGAACAGTGGGAGCGATGCTTCTTGTAAAAAGATGAGTCACCAATTAGAGATCACAGATTGCTTAACTTTTTTTTAATTTGTAGATGAAAATTGCCCCTGCTGTGATGCATTTCATTACAGTCTTCCTTGATATGTCTTGAGCACAGCAAATCACAAGACAGCAATCTTTCAATTTTTAAACACTTTAAAATGCATTAGTATTCTAGTTATGATCACCATACAAAAAGGTTTCCAAGTGTTCATACCATTTTGTTGGCTTCTCAGCATACTATGAAGAGCATCACACTGATTCACAGTTTTGTCGTTCCAGAAAATCTCACCAGTGCATAAACAGTTATCGTGCTGTGCCATGCAACCACAGACATGTTTATTTGTGCTGTGGATGTAACCACCATCAGTTTGGCCATACAAAAGAAAGGCAGACTCCCTTGACAGGCCACTGAATAGGGCTCATTGCCCACATTTCCATTACAAAGGACCAGACTCCAAATCTGACTTCAGTCTGAACTTGCTGAACGACCAGCTTCCCATCGTACTCTACGACAAAATTGTACTTGCCAGGGGTTATAAAGCACAAATTTAGTTTTCTAAAACCAGTACAATTTGTGAATAAATTAAGAAATGGTCCAAATTGTCAATATTTTAGGCCTTATGGCTCGGTAGTCATGGGGTCAATCAGGACTGTTTCACCAGTTGAAATACACAATGCTGATTAACGTTAAGAAATGCCACCAGACTGTTTTGTAAACAGGGTATACAGCAAACGATGCACTAACAACATTTATGATATAATCTAACACATAACTACAAACAAGGCCCGTCATTTTAAAACGAATCACTGGAATTCATGTTGAGCTACATGTCACAACTAGCAATGGGAAGTTAGATTCATTCCTGTGAATCGGTACTTTTGAACATTCCTCTGAACTGAAAAGTTCTCTTTGTGATTGAAACTGTAAAATTAAAGTCATAGAAACGTCATTCATCTAACCAACACCACATGACGCTAATAAAAAAATGTAAGTTCACACTTACAAAATCATATAGAATAAATGTTATGAGGGGGAAGAAGATTCGAATTAAGAGCACGATTCATTTTCGAATAATGAGAACGCTCGTCTACAGAGAACCGAGGTTACGTTAGGTAACCGATTCGTTTTGTCATAAGCGTAATAGTATAGTATTTTAACACGCAAGGTAAATATGCATTTAATTTAATTAATTTGTAATGGACAGCTGGCCTGTATTTAAACAGAGGCTGGTTGAGTCAGTGTGTATAGTGTAGTATATATATATATATATATATATATATATATATATATATATATATATATATATATAGGCTATATATATATAGGCTATATATATATAGGCTATATATAGGCTATATCCTAGGCTATATTACAGAGAGAGAGAGACGCCTATTTAGACCTCTATAACACGAGTGTATTTTGTTAAATTAACAAGGGACAGCAAAACATACTTGCGAGGTTATATCTTATACGAACCTCTTAAATGATACAATTACAAGTCACGCGCATTAAAAAATTTAAAATTAGTTCAATATAAGGAATGATTTATGCTTCTGATGACTGGTTTACAGCGCCATGATGAGCGCCAGGCTGCCCTGTCCAGCACAGCACAGCCTGGCCACACTCTCTCCACACACCAGCAGCCTATCAAATAAATAAATACACACAGAGAGGTGACACACACACAAGCACCCGACTCACCATCGCCGACCGCTATTAATCCACATAGGGCGAGAAGCGCTACAGCAGTTCGTCGTGGAAGCATGACTGCAAGATTCCCATCTCTTAGCATTAATGCATTCGTTTTGCGTGATATTGACAAGCGAGCGAACGAGACTTACAACACAACCACAAACCAACCAACCATACACCGCCTGCCAGGCTCGGAGACAATAGTGGGTTAAAGGGGTGTGCCTAGTTTTAAAGGGGAGGGCTACACGCCTGGGCTCCTTTGTTGTAGTAGTCTCTTTACAAGGACTCATTTGTGAATTGGCCTGATGGTCCTGTCTGTAGTTAAGGTCTCATCAGGATTGTTTTTGATTGATTCTATGTCGCATTTTATGTTCAAGTCATTTAACTTGTGGCTTTAACATGGATGACATTTAGGCAATTATTGATTTTTTTAAAGGCACTGTGATAAAACGGTTTACAAAACAAGAGAAAAGGTTTATGTAAGGAATTAATCTGTTCAGCCTACTAAACTTTGTAATACTTGAGTAAAATTAGATAAAATGACAAAACATCCTTTAACAGCTGTGTGACTTGAATTGGGAAATGGCCAACATAAAATATAGACACAATCACTTTAATAACATAAAAACTCTTAGAATCATTGTTAAAATATAATATTAAAATAATAATAATAATAATAAAATAAACCAAAAATGTAAAAAGTTAAATGGGGACAGTTAAAATTTAAATTAATAAAAAAAAAATAGTAAAAAATGGCAGGTACAATTGTATATATGTTTTGTTTCATGTTTCAAGAATTAGTTAACATAAAATATTTGTACTTTATTTACTTTACTTTATTTGATTCAAACTTTCTAATGGAAAAATTACACCCAGGTCTTGGGAATATTTCATGTAATTGTCTTTTAAAAGTAATATAATGTCCTCTTCACAAATATTCATTATCAGAGAATATATATATATATAATTGTGTGATGTGTGTGAAAGCTGAACGTTTTGCAGGTCAAGTCTTTGTTGTGGTCCAGCAGGAGGTGTTCGCCATTCTCCAGAGTCTCAGCATTAACAATATGACTCAGGAGCCAAAGTTACCTTTGTGAGTAGGACGTACATTGTGCGATGTGTGTGATCCAAAGGAGCTTACAGAACCCCTGTGAGCAGCATTCAGGACTTCCACAAAAACCACAGTACGGGTTAAGCTTTAGAGACCCCAGACCCTCAATAAAAAAATCACTGATTGAAAAAAAAAAACATTAACAAAGTCCTCGACTTATGAAATAGGAAACTGTCTTCAGGGATAGAAGTCAAACATAATCCTATATGAGCGTTCTTGCTTCTGCCAGGACCTCAGGATGTTTACTTCCTCTAAATAGCAGGGCAGATGGGAACTTGTGATTTTAATTTTGAGGAATAAAGAGACATTTGATGCACTCACTATTTGTCCTCTTAATGGCCACATGACACGAGGAGTCTCGGTTAGTGCATTAAGCCGTATGGGTACATAAAGAATGATGTACAAGATCTAATCTTATTACACTGAAATTCCTTTCAAGTTGCTCTCAATGCAAAGGTCAAATACAAAGCATTTAGAGTTGCGGCCTGCAGACTTAAACCTCTATTGTTACCATTAACCTCTTTTCTTTCGCTATTAGTAATCTGGTCCCTGACTGTCTATTGTCTGTAAAGTGGGGTCATATCTTTCAATTATCAATCGACATATTTCAGCTGGGCGTTCGTATCCGATTTTTCCAAACAAAGACTGTGTTTTCCAGACATTCTGTGTAAAAATGTCACAGCTGATAGAAGGGCACCATTTCAGAGGAGTCTGGCCTACCAGAGCAGGGCATTGATACTCCACTCTGTGCTCTGTTAAAAATAACCCTCTCTCCATTTGACCGGACAGGTCGAGTTGGGGGAATTATCTCCAGCAAAGCCCCCTCTCTGTACTCCTCCACAGATGGATATAGCGAGGGTACAGATATAGATAAACAGGCAGACAGAAATCAATGTCCATCCTCTCACTCCGCCATACAGTCTGACACAAGACAAACACGACACGCCAAAGGGGAAACTTTGGTTTGGGGAAAAAGCCGAGATAAACATCTTATAAATATCCATCAGTCAGTGGAGCATCTGCTCTTTTGGCCTCCTAGTGTGCATAGGAAGGGATTTATATTAAAGACACTCTCATTTCTGTGAATAAGATACGTGAGATATCTATTTTTGACGGGGTAAATATAGGTCCGTCTGAAACATGATCGTGAAGGATGCTTTCAGTATTGTATCCGTGAAATGTTGTTCAACAACACTGAGGTGTGTCTTGGTTGCTCCCGAGGGGTATCAGGTCCTTTGGCGTCTCTTGTGACTAACAACGATTCTAACAATTGCAAGATTTCGTGGCTTGTAAGACAGGATACACATTGTTTATGGTTTAAAAGAATTGGATTGAGACAAAAGGAAATAGATCCCGTATATCCTTTTGGGCTACTGAAGTGACGTTGTATTCATTAACCAGATCAGGTTGTGGCACAGTTTGCTCAGATCAGTCTATGGGAAAGAGAAATCGGCAAAAAAAAACTAATGTAAGGCTTTCAGGGGAAGGAGAGCAATTAATGATTGCCCTCTAGTGGACAAATTTTTACTACTACACGTTAATGTTCAAAGATCTACTTGTTTGAGATTAAACAATCATTGGTGGACCCTCTAGTACTGTAGAAAAATGTTCAAAGTCTGCTTCAGTATCCTGAAGTTTTTATTAATAGTTAAATACTCTTATTTGGAGTGAGAAAAAATAAAGACTTTTTGTGCAAAAAACATGTATACACATTTTTGATTATAATTTCTTCAAAAAGCAAATATACTGTACAATTCCTTACATCGTAAAAATGATATGATACAGACTAGAGTAATGTGATGTAATTTTTTTTTTTTTTTTTTTACAAAAGTGCACTATACTAATATGTCCTCTGTTTAAATAATTTCTTGGTGCAAGTTTATAAAAAAGATGGACCATTTCAAAGTCTTTCATGTAGACAAGAAACAGATACAAAAAGAATAAGTGCAACAAACAGTCTTGTGCCAACCTCTGTACGTAAGAGTCTTGTTTAAAAAGTTCAGAATTTCAGGAAACACCACAATTAGGAAGTCCAGAATAACCCACATCCTGACTGTAAAAATCCCTCTCACTACACAGAAAAGAATTTTGTGGGTTTATTAACTCTTTCAGTAATAAATGAGTCACTGTGTTGAAATACAGAGGTCTTAGAAGAGTAGTCAACTGGATATGTTTCAGGAGACTGTGAAGGCCTCGACTTCCCACAGTGAATGTCATGATAAGATAAACCATGTTCAGTGAAGCCTCAAGACAAGAAGCTTGAAAGGCGCATTAAAAGAGTTTAGATTATACTCAGATGGATGGACATGCAATGTGGGTCCATTAGAATTGAACTTCAGAAGGTTTATTCTATAAGTCCAGTTTAAGCTTGTCAATGTCGTAGTCATGGTCCTGGTCCAGTTTGGAGAGGGTCTTTCGCACACGCAGAGCAGTGAGTCGAGCTGAAGGGCTTTGGAACCAGCACTCTTTCTTAATCTTCGCAATTGTAGACAGGATCTTGACAGAAAAACATACAGAGAGCGCATTTGTTTAGTCATTTCTGATGTCTCTCTTAGTGTGTAAATATACAGTTCTATGGGTAGACCTATGTTTATGTGAATATAAGTGACTGCGCCTGGAGTTCATTTTCAAAAACAGACACAAAGAAGTGACCAAGATTTCTAGAAACTTCCCAAAAACTTCATTTGCAAATCCAAACTCAACAACCTCAGACAACAATGAGATTTTGTGAGAATTCTGTCAATGTCATGCTAGCTTTGAAGTAGGTGTCAAACAATCATATTTGTCCTTCAAAACTGTTTTGCATTCTGCTCTGAACAGATACATTGTAGGAGGGAGTGTGTGTATGTGGCAGACATAAAACAGTCTAATATGGCAAAACAGTTTCAGCAAGATGGACTCATAGGGGTCATTATTTTCAAGTGCAACACTTAAAAATAAAGTTTATTTTATTCGCATATATGGTTCCATTAAGAACCGTTAGCATTCAAGGAACATTGCATAAAATGCCCTTTATAGGGGAAAAGGTTCTTTAGATTTAGAAAATGGTTCTTTAAACAACTGTTCACTGAAAGGTTCTTTTGTAGAACCCTTTTGGAACCTTTATTTTTAAGAGCGTAGCAACAAATCTAGCGACTAGCCTGCAAGTCTGCTACTCCTCAACACATGTTACCAAGCTTCTGCAGCTGCTTTTTGCATTAAGAAGCATAAATATAAATTTCCATCCATTTTCTTTTGCAAAGCAAACCTAAAATTAAAGCCTATAAGATATTTTCAGTGACATCATGGACTGATGAATATTTTGTCCCACACGCACTCCTAACAATTTTCTCCAGATTGCAGCTGTCAAAGCAAATCCTTGTGTAGGTTCTGACTCAAGTAAGTTTAAGTCTTCCAAGTCTGTATCTCTGGTATGTTTGCGTATCTTACCGGATGAGAGTGTAGTCGATTGTGGAGACTGGGCCTGTGCTGGTCAACACACACCACTTTCTTCATCTCCTCGAAACTGGGGTCAGAGGGCACCACGTCAAAGAACGGTGGTCTGTACTCCTCCACAATCCCTGAGGCAACCACAGATTTAAGGGATTTATATGGGAGTTTTTGTCAACATTTGCTGACTACATAGCATTTGAATTTTTACTGATAAAAATGCAGATTTATGCCAAGACTGAAAGTCTGTTCTGACCATATTTATAAAACAGTGGTTTGGGCGTTGAGGGAGGTTGGCAGTACTAATACTTCTGTGGGAGGATTGCAGGAAATTATACAGGGAGCCTAAGAGCATATAGCAGCTGACATTATGGGGGGGAAAAGCTACAGTGGAATCATCGAACATATTCTATTTTGCATTTTTATAGTTATATACAGTATACACTGATGAGCCAAAACATTATGACAGGTCACAGGTGAATTTTTCATCATTTCCTAACAAGTCCTCATAATAAAGGGTTAGTTCACCCAAAAATTTAAATTCTGTCATCATTTACTCACCTTCGTTTTGTTCCCAACCCGTGGGATTTTTGTTCTTAGAAAGAATGAAGACATTTTTAAAAAAATCAGATCCAGTTCTGTACTCTGCCTTACAAAAGTAAAACTAATCCATATGAATTAAGTGGTTTAGTCCAAATTTTCTGAAGAAACACAATCACTTTATATGATTTAACAGATTCAATTGAGGCTTTTATTCACATGAATAAAATTACCTATTTTCTTTCTGAGCTGTTGCCTGCAAACTACAATGTTTTAAATACTCCCAGATCCACTGTTCGAGGTAAGAGAGTGGCCACGCTCTTTAATGACATTAATAAATGTAGCTTACTATCAGTGGAGAAATACCAACGCATTCTCATCCTTTAACGTCATATAGAACGCTATATGACAAAACGGCGCTATACTACGCACATAGCACCCGTTATCGTTAATATAACACGTTCTTTTGAAGTACAGTTGGTCAACCTGGAACTGACCTACAACGTTCATTGTGCACTAATCTACCGCCTCCCCAAATATGATAAGGACTTTATTCAGGATTTCTTTCTTTGATTGTTCCGACCACTGATAATGTTTTAATCATTGTGGACTTTGTCTAAACCACTGGTGAGGCAATTCTCTTTTAACTTAAATGTTTCTTTAGACTATATACAGTGAAATTCATTTATAAATAAAATTATTTTTTATATATATAATTCAGAGCGTAAAAAAAAAAAATTACTATAAAAACTATATACATATCCTAAATTGGATATTAACATCCAATAGAGTAAATCGCTGCAGCAGCTTCAGGTTGGTAGTCCAAGACAGTGTTGTCTATCTGTACTTCCGGGGCTCTTCCCAACGGAGCCTCCCTTTCGATTTCAAAATGGCGACTGCATGAAATCAGCATATAGGATTGATTTTATTACTGGTTTTTAAAGTCCTTCATAACATGTCCTCAATTGGGGCCCTTCATTTCCCAATCCAAGAAGAATTCAAAACGAGATTGAGCTTTCTCAGAAGTAGTTGCTCCAAAATAATGGAACAGTCAGGACTCAAAGGATCTGCTGCTAACTTCATGGTGCCAGATACCACAGACTTCATGCCTCTGCGGGCCGGCGCAGTTTTGGCAGCACGTGGAGGACCAACAGCATATTAGGCAGGTGGTCATAATGTATTGGTTCATCGGTGTGTGTACTTTATATAAGTGACTGTAAAGTAAATTGTAATTTTACAAAAGATTTCTTTTTAAAATGAATTATGTTCGTTTGAACTTTCTATTCATCAAAGAATTCTGAAAAAAAATGCATCATGGTTTACACAAAAAAATTAAGCAGGAAAACTCTTTCAACATTGATAATAATAAGAAATGGTTCTTGAGCACCAAATCACCATATTATAATGATTTCTGAAGAATCATGAGACACTGAAGACTGGTGCCATTAGATCACATTCTGTAATAATTACTACATATAACTTATATATAAATGGTTGATTAAGTGCTTCTTAAAAAGTATGTGTGTGTGTGTGTGTTAAAGAAAGAAGAGAGAGAGAGAGAGAGAGAGGGAGAGAGAGAGAGAGAGAGAGAGAGAGAGAGAGAGAACCAGCGCATCTGGACTAAATGAGCAGGAGTGCTGAAAGCAGATAAGATTGTTTATAATTATTGGGCCACTAATCGTGGGTGGATAGAGACAGACATTGAGAAAAAAACTGTGGGATCGAGGGAGAAGGGAAGTAAGACAAAAAAACGTATGAGAAAAAATAATAACTATCAGCAGTGTGAAAATCATTGCTTAGTAACAGAAAACCTAAATTTAGATAGAACGCTGAGATCCAGCAATCACAGAACTTTTAATTTAAAGTTGTAATGTGCAATGAAACTTTAACTAATAAATTCTTTCTGTAGTCTCAGCATATCAATGTTTTTGGCATTTTGAAACATATTTAAAAGTCACAAGAGCACAGAATAGCGGTAGTGGCTCACAAATAAAGTTGAATAACTATTCCATCTTACCATTTACGATAGTTCGACGAGTTATCTCCCACATGACGAGACCCAGGGCCCAGATGTCAGTTTGTTTATAGGACTCAAACAGATCAACACGAATACTCTCGTCCAAAACCTCCGGTGCCATATAACGCTTGGTGCCCACTCTCGGGTTGTTGCCCACATCCAGATAGTCATTAGACTGAGAGTGAATGACAGCCAAGCCTGAGAGATCACACAGAAGACAATATGTTTTGAGATCTGAACTTTGAGATCGTGACAACAGAAATTTCACGCTTAAAGGGATACTCCACCGTTTTTTCATATTAAACAATGTTATTCCCTTAACTAAGACGAGTTGATACATACCTCTCTCATCTCAGTGGATGCACTAAATCGCTCGAAACTTTGTTAGCACTTAGCCCAGTTCATTCATTAGGATCCAAACACAGAAGCAACCAAACTCCTCCATGTTTTCCCATTTAAATACAGTTACACGAGTAGTGTAACTCGACCAAGAGTGGTGAAACAAAATAAAACATTGCGCTTTTCTAAGTGTGTATAACTTTAATGTATGACGGAATACCATAGCAAGTGCTTGGGAGCACTTCGACTCACTTCGCATATCTATGGACTCGGCACAGTAATTGGATCCTAAAGAATGAGGCCTGGGCTAAGCTAAGTGCTAACAAAGTTTAGCCGCAAGACAGAGCGATTTAGTGCACTATGTATCAACTCGTCTTAGTTAAGGGAATAACATGAAAAAACGGTGGAGTATTCCTTTAATAAAGTATATGATTTGCCAAAGTAAAAAAAAAAGTCTTGGAATGAGATACATTTCCTACTCAGACTCAGACTCAGTCTCAGTCCTACTTTCTCACCCAGGTCTGCAATGCAGCACTGCCCATTTCTCTTCACTAGAATGTTACGGCTTTTGAGGTCTCGATGTGCGATGGCTGGTTTGCCCTGCGTACTGAGGATCTCTGTGTGGAGGTGCACAAGGCCGCTGGCGATGGACAGGCACATGCGCAGACAGCCCTCGGGGTCCAGTGTGCTGTCCTGAAGGAAGTCATAGAGGGAGCCCAACTCATGGAAGTGTGTGACCAGCCACAGCTGAGTGCTGGAGTTTTTAGACGTCATGTCTGATGCTATGAAGCCTGATGGACAGAAGACATTACATCAACTCAGAACGATCCCTTCCCACACAAGAAATGAACAATGCAGTGTGGGTGGAAACCTACCCAAGATGTTTTCATGCCTTAGTTGGACTGTGTTGTAGATTTCAGTCTCTCTAAACCAGGACTGTTCATCACGAGAGGAGAAAATCTTGACAGCCACACTCTCTCCCATCCAGGTGCCTCTCCATACCTCTCCGTAACGCCCTTTACCTGCCAGAAACATTCAGAGGGAAATGATAAACTAAAATGAGATGCATATATTGTTATACTAAGATAAAGCCATGATCGCTGCTCTTTCATTATTTTTCTAAATGTTAAAACAAATTTAATTTGACATACATAAATTAATACAAAGATTACACTTATTTAAATGTAGTTTTATTCATTATTATTATTAGATCCTAATATAAATGTGTACACTTATTACACAGATTTAAATGATATTTTCTTTAATAATAATAATAATAATTACATTTTAAATTAAGTGTAATATATGGGTTCGAATATATTTATTCAATTATGTTAATATTAAAAAACAAATTAAGAGTACATTTAAATCAATATGTGACCACCCTTTCAATCAAACTCAATGTTGTACAGTATGTAGTAAAAGAAAGAAATCTCTTTACAAGAAAAAAAGTATATTACATATATTTTATTTAAATATAATTTATATCTATGGATTAAATTATGCAAATTTTTTTAATTGTGGAAACATTTAAAAACAACTTAAACATTTATCGAACTCACAATGCTATACATTATGTAGTAAAAAAAAACATTGTACAAGAAAAAAGGTGTGGAGAAAAACACATCTCCACTTCTTATACTTCATTGCTTCATCCTGCAGTGGTTTCACCCTCCGCCTATGCAGCATTGTGTAATGAGATATGAAAGTTTTACTCACCAACACAATGAGCCAGAGAGATCTGTCGGGCCATGGTCCTTTGCACCAGATAAGGCAGGCCGGTCCCACTGCCAGACGTACAAAACTCATCAAAGATATCCTAAAAAGGAGAATTACACACTTAAATCACTGACCAGCTGAAAAATGACACACACTTACTGTCAAATGATGGGAATTTGAATCACAACCACAGTAGTTGCTCAAGAGACTGAAGGTTTCAGTTGTATGTATAGCCCATTACAAACAAGACTGTGTCTGTATGTAATCAATGAATTGAGGGTAATGGGTTACAGCATGACTACGTACAGTGTACTTACCCAAGAAAGCATTGGTTTTATGAGGTGGGTTAAGTTTACGTTTAGAGTTAGTACCTATAACCCAGTTATTGTAACTGCTATAATAAGTACATTGTATATGCGAAACAGGACTGTAAAATAAAATGCTACCGAATAATGAAATCAAACTAAAAGCAGTGAATGTGACCCAGCAGTTGCGTTTTACCCCGTATGTGGGATCCGCTCCGCTGGGGACTTTGAGCATAGAGGTTTCGTGTTCCACCAGGGGGCGTTGCTGTCGTCTTGTACGCAGCCACAACACAAGCCCACAGACTGCCAAGGACATCACCAACAGCACCAACAATGGCACTCCCACCAATAGAACTAATCCGATGGGCTTTTCCACTGGAAACAGAGACAACATCACTGAAAAAAGCAGCTGAAAATGTTTCAATTTCATGTATTCAGTTGTGTATTCAGAAATGCCAAAGTATATTACAAAATGTGCTTCAAAAAGCAAGAAAAATACATTTCAGTTTAAAACAAATTACCAAGATATATAAATGAAGATGGAAAAAAAATAACTAAAACTCATATAAATCATTAGCAGTATATATTTTTTTTGTACATTTTGAAATATACCTGAAAATATATTTTTTTCAATTTGTAAATTGTTTTTAGTTTCTATTTGAGTTTTTAAGTTTTTGAGTTTTTGAGTATTTAAGGTTTTTTTTCTTCAAGTATGACGTTCCAAGATATCCTTAATGTGTTTTATACACACACAAAAACATAAAGGGAACAATTAAAAACAAGACATATATCATGGAAACAATACCAATAAAAGAACCAAGGTCTATAAGATATATATTTACAAGGTTAAACATTGAAAGCAATCTTGTGAATTTTCACAAAACATTTCAAATAAATAATGCCCATCAAAGACAAAACATAGTGGTATTTACAGTAGTGGTATTTTACCCCAAAATTTTAACACACGTTTAAAAACCTAAGAAAGTTCAAACCTGTGAAACACCAATGCAACACTAGAAGGCAGCAGAGAATAAACTTCTACCAAGGCAAACAACTCTTTGATTTTAGCACTGAATATCTGAATTAACGTCTCTAAAATGAGTAACTGTTTTCTGAGCTAAAGAGGTGTTTTTAAAGAAATGACTGACCTGTTGTTCCAGGCACACTGAGGTTTGCATTGCACATGTGTGTGTGGCAGCATTTGGTATACAGTTGAGGAACAGCAGGCACGTGGCACTGCTCTTTGGTGGGAAAACAGCCCCGTACTACCCGCTCATGGACCGAAGTGTAGAAGCAAATCCGGCCCCAGCAGGTGTTGTTCTCACAGGAGTATGTGTTCTCACATGCGCACTGTAAAACGTCCTCCTTGCCATTATCTAAGCACGTAAAAAATGCAATGTGACTAATATTACACTATCTCAGTTGATATACTGTATATATGATGGATAACTCACGATTCTCTGGGGGAGAGTCCACCACCACATCATCTGAAAAAAAGAAAAGTGTTTCTTTGCAAATGAGAAAATATGTCAGACACAGAGTAGGAAGATATACTTCCTCTGGCTTATTGTCTGCACAGGAAGCAACACTCTACATCACCCGGCTGGTTTCCATGCAACACTCAGGCATATGCACACATAAACACTCATATTGTGTAACCTCACCTGCGAGAGTTGTGTAGCTCCCTGAATACACCAAAACAAACAATGCTGCGAGCATCTCAGAAGCCTTCATGTCTAAGAATGATAGGAAAGGGATAGAGGATGAGCCTTAGAAGGGAGCACTTTGACACAAACAACACTTCCAGCTCCTTCCATTTAATCGTATGCACATATCCCATGCTCCCTTGCATCATCCTTCACTGATCTGGCATTTGCAAGGCACCGCTCCATGCGTGAATAATATAATGGCACAATCATACAATGACATAGTGTTGGAATCTCTTAATGGAAAAAGCTCAATAACCCCTGTCCCACGCCAAAGGAAGTCATGAGTTAAAGAACTACAGATGGAGAGGGTCCAGTCAGTCTGTCTGTGCTGCAATTATAGTGAGGGTGGGTGGGAGAGGACTTTAGTGGAGGCCTCGTTCTCCTCCTCGCAGACACTCTGGCTGCTGCACACGCAGAGTAAATATTGATGGCTATACTTCCTGCCATTCAGAGGCCGCACCCGGCTAGCCGTCCAGAGACTCCGGATTACTTGTTCCTCAAGGTCTGGAAGTCGACTGGTCACGCAAGCTAAATGGCTGGGTGAAAACGTATTATATGAAGATGATGGAAAACCTGCATGCTGAAGTGTTGGCCTGTTCTCCAGGCTGCTTTCAACAAGCAATAGGTGAAAGTGTCTATAACTGTCCAAATTCGTTTTAGGCACTGCATAACAGTAGCACGCTGAAAACAACAGACTATTTTTGTGTTGCCTCCCTCAACACTGTAATTACTCTACACTTATGTGACGTCATGGAAAAACAGAATCAGCCATGATGTTTGAGAGCCAGGGTTGATGTGTATCTTTGTCCAGATAAATATGCTTTGGGCAATATGTCTTTATGAGAGGTTTCCGAATGCAGATTTGTGTATGTTGTAATCTATATAATCTGTATTTGTTATTATCTGCGTATTTGTTGTTATCTGCGTATCTGCATATAAATTATCGTCATTTTTGGGATGGCATCTTCTTGGCATCTATCAAATCTGTGGAGTCTTTTAAATTCTCCATTTAATCCCATCAATGTAAGCGCAGGTAATTCAGTGTAAACAGCTTTGTCACGTACGTTTAGTGAACAGAACATGGCTAATTGCTGGGCTCTCTGGGCCACATTAACACGGAAAACAACCCCACCCATCTCTGGGTATTCTGATCTTTATTTCCAAACTGCCAGGATGTTTTTCAAATAAGATAGTGGCCGTCTTGAATCAAAGCCTTAAGTGAACATGATGAAATGCGATTCCTGTTTCGATGACCTGCTTGTCAGCATTCTCTCTGAGAGTAGTCAAAAGGAACTAACAGTGAACTGTCTTATTCTCCTTCCACTTTTCTCAGGACTTTAAAATAGAATAAACTCCTTTGCTGCTTTGTTTCGACATTCATATTTACATTGAATTATGTTACAGTTATTTCTTACTAAAGTGGCTTTAGTGTGAATATAGATCACGCTTTTTAATTTTAATATTTAGATTGATTTTTTTAGGAATGCATAAGTGATAGTGAAAGTTTTAATTTCTTTTCACATTTAATCAACTTTTGCCTTCACATTTGAGTTCTGTGATGATGGCAAATGAATTATAAAAGTTCAAAATATTCCATTTGGTATATATAAAAAAAGATAAAAGTAATATAATCCATGAAAATATTATTAAAAAATGAGCAAAATTCAGTTTAAAATAGGGCTGTCAAACAATTAATTGCATCCAAAATAAAAGTTTGTGTTTACATATATATGTGGGTGCACTGTGTACAATTATTTTATATATATAAATACACACACATGCTTGTATTTAAGAAATATTTTCATGTATACTGTATATGGATGTATATATAATTTATATTATATATAAATATTTTATATATAAATAATATTTTTTTGCACCCACATATATTACGTAAACACAAACTTTTATTTTGGATGTGATTAATCGCGATTAATCGTTTGACAGCCCTAGTTTAAAATGGTTTAGCATGTCACTCTGCAGGACATGCCAACTTCCCAAATGTATTTCATACATATTGTTATCCTGAAGAAATAAATTAAGAGTCTGAGTCAGGATTTTGAAATAGTTCATGGTAAATTCAGCATAGCATGTGCTATCTCTGGCTCCATCTTGCAGCTGTAAGAACTTGCCTGTTTTGATTGCAGTTAAAAGAACTGGTACGCATCAGTGTATTTGTAAGCGCCAGCATTTCACAGTAACAGAGATAAATGAACTGAACTCATGGTTCATGCTAACTAGATATGGGTCATGTCATTGACTGCAATGGATTCTCATAAGAATGGCATGCAAAGATGCCAGAACATAATGTTGGTATTTGGTTAATTCAAATACTCTAATAAAATATCTGATATAGCCTATGCAGCCAAATCTTTGTAGTTGACAAAATGTAGAAAGCATCATCCACATGTCTCATGACCTTAGATATTGCATCATCATCATCATCATCATCATTCATTCATTATTGTGTATGTACAAGGTGTATATAGCCTATAGCCTACCTCAAACATTTAAAAAGCAAGAAAGAGTGACAAATAAAGCCAAAGTTTTTTTTCTGCACGTTGTGATTCTCTTTTTCTTAATACTGCTGCAGTTCTGCTCCTTCACAATGGAAAAGCTAAGATGACCCTTTAATTTAAACCGTTATCAACATATCTCTCTAAATGGTATTCATATTCATTAAACATGGCTATAGTCATGCATTACCCCACATTCACCATAAGAGCAATTTCAGAGAAAGATTTAAACGAGATTAAAAAACATAATGGGTTAATTACCTGATTTTCGTCTTGCGCACACTCACGAATCAATCTTATCAAACTTCATCTGTTTAAGAAACTCGTCTCTCATTTCTTTAAAACATAAAACTGTTGTGTGAAAGCGACGAATATATTGAAATCAGAGGCGCAGGTCATATCCAGATGTGCTGGAGCCTAACTTTTGCCACAACCTGACATTCTCGGAGTTTACTCTAAAGTTAAACTCTTTCGAGTTCAGTTTTCATTCACTCACAATCCGATCGGTCTTATTTCCTCGAGCGAAATATTGCATAGATCGCCGTAACTGCGCAGAACATACCGAGCTGTGGCGTACAGTAGGCTTTATCTCCAGTCAAATCTCGAGCTGATAAAAAGAAAAAGAGAAACAGTCTTCTTCCGCTTGGAAATAAACATTCCCAGATCGACTCCCGACGACTCCATCTCGATAAGTGTAAAGCAAACTTTGAGCAATGTTTCTTATTTAGGGGTTAGATTACAGATTTTTAAAATATCTGTCCCACCCCTCATTGTCTAAGCCGGGGTTCACTAGGAATGTGCTCTCATAGCTGTTTTCCTGTTGCTGCAAGACCTTTCATTTTGTCCACGTCTGTTTTTTCTTCTTCATAGCTGGTTGCTTATGACTAGAACTTCATAGAGGATTTGTGTACCTTCTGAACTAGTCACATCACAAATGTGACCTCCATTAAATTGTACTTTTTACTTTAAAATGAACAACGTATTGAATATATTTAAAATAAGTTGATTAAAATAAAATATTTGTCATTAAATTATATGGTCATGTTTTTTTGGGCAGTCTTGGCCTGGACTTGCTCTTGCCATTGATTATGCCGCACTTTGTAATATTTGACTGCAACTCAGTTTACACATACTGTATGGATTAATTTACACTATCAATTTTGTTTTGTTTTTGAAATAAGTCTCTTATTCTGATGGGCTGCATTTATTTGATCAAAAATACAATAAAAAAAGATATATTGTGTAATGTTATTATCATTTCTTATTATTATCAATGTTAAAAACATGAGGACAATATAGTTTATTTAAAACATAGCCTATACATAAAAATGTGTAATTAATTCACATAAGGACCAGAAGGTGAGCAAAAGATTCATGGGGCCATGAATGGCTTTTAAAGGAGATTGGACACAGTTGGTTTATTTGATGGGACACTGCTGAAGGCAGGACAGCCTGAGGTTATGGTGACATCTCCGACTTGAAGCCTTCCATATGGACCAAACACAAATCCAAGACAGTTCTCAAAGATAAGATGAGAAACAAAAATTTCATCTTTCATTCATTACAACTTAATCAAGAAATAAGTTCCAAGAATAATGTTAACTTTGACTACATCAGTTGTATAAGACGAGAAAATGTTCATGCAGTTTTTTTCCTTCAGAGACTTTCTCAATCTGTTTTCTTGGCTGGTGTTTTTGGACACAGCTGGCACTCCTCAGATCTGAGAGGAGACTCAGGAGAACTGTTATTTGAAGAGGATTCATGTATTTATTTTCCCTGTTCCCATGATATGTGTGATTTCTGAGGTCTGTTATTTCTCAGACTTTTATTAACGGCAACTGTTTTTCCATGATTGATGAGCAATTAATTTGATCAGAGGACTTTTTTTTAAATCTAAATGAACCTGGTCCAGAACTATTGATTCTACAACAATTGACAACTACAGGATTCATTAAAAACAGGTCTGAAATGTGTGATGCATTGTTTGAAAAATGTTACTAGCTTAATTCACATTAAATTAAATAGAGCATCAAACACAAATAAGATTATTTTTCACTTTAAACACATTAAGGGATTAGTTCACTTTAAAAAAAAAAAAAAAAAAAAAAAAAAAACATTTGCTGATAATTTACTGTGTCATCCAAGATGTCCATGTCTTTCTTTCATCATTTGAAAAGAATTTAATGTTTTTGATGAAAACATTACAGGATTTTTCTCCATATGCTAATAGACTTCAATGGACCCCAACCGTTTCAAGGTCCAAAATGACAGTTCAGTGACAAAGGGCTTTAAACGACACCAAAGGACGAATAAGGGTCTTATCTAGCGAAACGATCGTCGTTTCAAAAGTAAAGCACAAATGCTCCCCTTGCTCTGTTCTTTGATGCGCATTATCCTGTTTGAATCCGTTCATCTCAATGAACAAATCTTTTTCGAGTCATTTCGTTCGTTGAATGCTATGGTTGAATGAACAAAATGACTCGAAAAAAGATTTGTTCATTTTGATAAACGAGTTCGAACAGGGGAGACGCGAACGTGCATCACAGAACAGAGCTAGCCAAGGCGACCATTTGTGCTTATAAAAATGAAACCTTTTTATTTATTTTTTAAATGACCCATCGTTTTGCTAGATAAGACCCATATTCATCGTCTGGTGTCGTTTAAAGCCCTTTGAAGCAATGAAATGAAACTGTCATTTGGACCTTGAATCGGTTGTGATCCATTGAAGTCCATTATATGGAGAGAAATTCTGTAATGTTTTTATCAAAAACCTTAATTTCTTTTCGACTGAAGAAAGAACGACATGGACATCTTGGATGACATGGGGGTGAGTAAATTAAGTTAAGCAAAATTTATTTTTTTTTTAAAGTAAACTAATCATTTAAATACCAAATTGTCGCGGTTCAGATAATGAACCGGACATAATACCAAGTAAAAAACAAGTAAATGTCTCAAAATAATATTTCGCCCAGGCTATATATTTTGGTTTGCCTTTACCTCACTTCACGCCAAGTCAAAGATCTCATCAGTTACGTAAGGATGCCGCAAAGAGTGGCTTTAATTAAGTCCACTTGTCCTCCTTTGTGTTTTGACCTTACTGCTCCAATTAGCTTTGCCTTATGCTCAGTGAGTGATTGGTTTAAAACCTCTACTGATAACATGGAACTAAATAAGTGTAAAGATGTGTTACAAATAGATGTGTTTAAACTTGATGGAATTAGACCTTTCATAAAATAATGTTTTCAATTTATATGCAACTAAAATATCACAAGTCAAAACAAACATAAACAAATATTGTCAGGTGCAATGTACAGTACAAATTCCATCTTGCAGTCTGAAGGATTTTCATGCACAGACCAATAAAAAAACAATAAATAAATGCAGGGTGTTGCATAGATTTAGCTTTTCATGGGGTCAGTTTAGTGCCTGCTTTTATAAAGTACACAATAAGTGCTTTCCCTGAGACACAAAAAGATAATGTAATGATGAACAAATCCATAAAAATTCATTTCAAACAAGCAAAGAGGAATGATAAATGTTGTGTCCTTTTGTCTGTATGATAAAAGACTTAAACTATTAAAGTGCAAAGTAAACATAGTCAAACTGCTATGATGTGACTTTTAAAGTCACCTGTAGAATATTGGAGTCCAATATGAATAAATAAAATAACAGTCAAGAGACAAATACTCTACAGTTCAAAAAGAATATTTTACAATATATTAACACAGAAAACAGTTCATTATTATTTTAGAATATTTCAGTTTTTTTACTGTGGATCAAATACATGCAGCCTTGGTGAACAAAATCTTACTAACCCCAAACTTTTAAACAGTAGCTTTTAAATTCTTTAAAATCATCTATTAAAATCATGCAATAGCAATAGAGTATTGCAATAGAGTAGAATGGGCTTAGAGAAGAAGACCAGAATACATAAGAAATGCAACAAAGAGGTCAAAATGTTAAAAATGGATGTTAATATTATAGGCCTAGTTGTTGGAGAGGTATTAATCATATTGAGGTTACATAGATGAATCAAATGTCTTTAGACTCTTGCGCTGCCATACATCCATTTAAAACATGGGAATAATATCCATGATCCATTTCCCTTTGACCTCTTATTAGCTGGTTTGACAGATCTAGAACAATGGCAGACAAATCTGAGAGCATCATGGAAATCTGTTGGCAGTTTACTCATTTTTTTACTTTTTTCTTGGCTTCTTTATCCGCTTTCTCCTGTTCTAATTTTTTCTTCTCTTTTTTCTTCTCCTCTTTAGCTTCCTTGTACTTCCATATCGGTGGCTCTAAGTAACCTTTGTTTCGCTTCTTCTTCTTCTCCTTTTTGGGTGTTGGCTCTCCAGACTTGGTCACTTGAATTTGGGGGATGCAGCCGGAGGGGAACACGCTATTGCGGCGGGCCATGCTGCGCGGGACGAACTTGCGGACGCCATTGGAGGCCATTGAGAGCACGCTGCCTCTCCGTTCGGTGTCGGAACAGCATGAGACCAGCGAGGCAGAGGTAGACGGGACAGAGTGGGAGCCGCTGCTGTGCTGTAACGTGTGTTCCTCAAGCTTTTTGCCCTTGTGCATCTCCATCAGTTCAGGGACAGCCAGGCGTCTCTTGCCGACCTCCGGCGGGCTCGAGGGACACAATGGGCGGCATCCGGTGACCACCAAGGGACTGTGGAGGCTTGTGGTCATACGCACCATATGGTCCATGATGCCATTGTCCTGGGGGTCATGTGGAAAACTGAAAGTGAACGTGGACTTCAGGCAATGGGCGACCTTCTGTCCTTTGCTTTTTGTGGCTGTGGCCTTGGCCACTAGCTCCTTCAGGTCAGGCCACTCTGGGACATATTTTTCACAGAATTGTTCAGCCTGAGGTCTGTCGTTCAGTCGTCTAAGCTTGCATAATGTGTCAAAGCGACCTGTCTTCACAGCCCATTCTCGTATATTCTTCCCCCTTGTGGCGTCCACAACGTTTATGTCGGCCCCTAGCAAAAGACAGACATGTAGGAGATGTAAACCATGATGATATTACAAATTTTCCTCAATGCTTAGACACTGAAATGCATTATTTTAGCCAAATATCCAAAAGCATAAAAAAAAAATATTACAGCACAGCACAGCATTTTACAGCACAGATTCTCATGCACAAATCAAGTATATTTCGATTTTTTTTTTTGTGATTAGGTATTACATGCAAATTAACGATTAATAGGAAAAAAACTAAATAGGATTCGTTAAAAATTGCAGTTTTTTAATCTGCAGACTACAGTATAATTATGTTGCTCATTTGGTTTAAAAAAAAAAACTAAGAAAATTTAGTCTAAGTTTAGTCTGTGTTTTAATGTTTGAAGGTAGTACAAGTTTAATCTGTGGCTATAGTTGCTCTGGTAAGAAATGCACAATGTGGAAACAGTGTATTGATTGTTGACTAGAAAAATATTAGCAGTTGGTGTTACCCCACCGAGTGGCAACTTTGGGTATAACATCAATATCTTGTCTTGATTAACTTTGCTTTTGCATTTTTTGAAATAATTATTTTGATTATCTGAAACAATCAGATGAATCATCTTAATTGTGAAAGAAAAGTCGTTAACTTTGTTCAAGTAGAGCAAAACATTTAACAATGCAATACAATTAAATGACCAAAACAGGCAATAACATTTCTTATTTCAAAGATTGTTAAATTGATTGTATTTAGATGAAAAAGATACTGACTTTTTGACAGTTGAGTACGTGCAATGTAGGTGTCTAAAATTGTAACTGGTCTAAATAATCACTGTTAAGTTCACACATGGCTAATCCGTT